GCCCCTGGCCTTTGTAGGGCTTTATGATGGTGCTCAACGTTCTGAACTCTGGCTGCACATTTGGCCAGAATCTTCCTCTGAGGTCATAAGACACTGTTGTTTTTATTCACTAAAGATGCCCTTGGGATTCTTCTCCCAATGGTGGTACTACCTTTGTTACACCCCTTCCACTAGCCCATTCTTATCTGCCTCCAACTTCCCTAACATCCACGATCACATGGATTTCTCTTTGTATGTAACCAAATAGCTTTTATATATAGACTCCACAGTGTCAGCCAAGTTAGAACCTATTATATTTTAACTCACAAGCTTATCACACCAAACCAAATATGTCAAAATCAATGATCTCAGCTCAGGGTCTGATCATTTGTCTTTGCCTCCCAAACACAGTCGTGTACACACTTCCACAAATATACATGGCCATTAGGCAAGATTTTAACACTGGGGACAAGGGCAACGTCCAGCAGGGAGTGAGGCCATGTGCTGTGAAGCAGGTGGCCTCCCCATAAGATACAAGGGTACATCATGTCAGACCTCAAACCATAACCCAGGAATGTCTGACTCATGTCCAAAGTGTCTTCCACAATTGCTCTGCCTTGACCTCAGAAAAAAATATGAGGATAACAGTCTAAATCAGCTTCCTAGGTAGATGCCTTTCACTTGATGGCCAATGAGCGGCTAGTAACTACTGTGAGTTAGGAGTCATCTGCTCCACACTGCCTAGGTGGGGATAGGGGCCTTTGACTTCTGTCAATAGCATCATTCTAAGCAAAGGAGGTTCTGTGGATTGGCTTAGAATGGCTGTATTCACAGACATATAATTTAAAGAAAATAACCACATTCCTCCCAGGATAAACAGCTGTCATGAATGAATAGTAACCTAGCAGGGGCTTAAAAGTCACTAGCCTCTGTTGACTTTCAAGATATATTGCAAAAACAGTAATAAAATGGTATTAGGTGAGCCCTCGTTATTTGTGAGACAGGTTAATATCCTAAGTGGTTAAATTAGGTTTTCTGCAGTGGAAGTCTCTTTGTCTCGTTAAACCTCCTACTGAGCTTGGGGTGATCATTTTAACTGACCTCATAAGATGCTTGTGAGGTTCAAGGGGTTAATAAAACAGAGTCCTTGGACCAGCTTGGGCACATATTGTGTCTCCAATAAGCATCAGCTTTTACTCTTACTGGGAGACTGGTGGACCTTCCCAAGCAAGTCACATGATCCTTAGCCCACCTATGGGAGTGAGGGATCTCAGCTTTACAGAGAGAAACAAAGGTGCCTAGGAAACAGCAGAGAGGAGATGACTCTTGGGCCTTTGTCTCTTAAACACTATGTGCTACCACTTTCCAAGATGGTGAAGATAACCCAAGTTTGACAATAGGTCAGATGTCTCAGGGTAGATATGCACGTTGGAGAACCTTTTAAGTTTTGTTTTTCCAGAGAATATCAGGGTACCAATCTAGGGGGACACAGCAGGAAATATGGCTGTGAATCAGTGCCTGATAAAACAGCTGGGCTGGAGCCCATGTCATCACAGGACTTAACAATGTCACTGAAAACATTGGCCACCTATTCCAGTATAGATTTCCCTTCAGGACATGAAAGCAGAGTTCAAAGAGAAAAAGGCTAGCAAGCTTGCAAAGTTACGTTACTGAAATGTATTTGTTTTTATTAGCTATTTTGCTTCAATGAGAGTTATGCTCTCATTAGGATTGTAGCAAAAATTTACTTTTTACTAATTTCTCCTGGTTTATAATCTGATTGGGGTGTCCAGGGCAATGCTCAAAACACACACTGTCATAAATGTATACTTCTTACAGCATTGGGGACTCCTAAATTTAAATCAGTTCAATTCTGGAAATGCTTACTAAGTTCCTGTTGTGAGAAAATACTATTCCAGAGACTACAGTGAACAAAACATGGTCCTCTGATCTCCAGAACCTTACTATCTCTAGAGCTGCTGACAATATAATAACCTGTAGCCACACATGGCTATTTAAATTAAATAAGGTAGAAAAGTCAGCATCTCAGGGGCACTGGCCACATTTCAACTATTCAACAGCCCTGTGTGGTTCCTGGCTGCCATATTAGATAAAGCAAGCAAAGAACACTTCCATCATTGCCAAAGTTCTGCTTGACAGTGCTGCTCTCTTGGATGGGGCAAAAGAACTCTTGGTCGCCCCTTGTTTGTGGTTGGGATGTGGTTTACTCGTAGAGACACCTGTTGGAACAGCGCTACCCTTCAGGTTTGACATTTGAAGTCATGGATTTAGATTCTGCTTCTGACTTAAATTGACCTGAGGTAAGAATGTTGTCCTTTTTGATGGGAATTTGTTCACCAGTAAAGCCGGGACATCAGACTACATGACCACTGTGACTCCTTCTGTCCAAATACCCTTTTTGTGAGTAAATTGATAGAATTGTGTGTTTGTATGTGTGTGTGTGTGTAAATGTATCCTTGTTAAAAGATTCTGCAAAGAATTTTCATCTCCCAAGATAACTTTGTTTTTCATCTTAGAAATTTAATTTTCAAAAAGAAAAGGAACAATTTCCTAGTTTAATTGTCAAGACTAAAATTCTATACATGAAATCCTAATCTCACCAGATTAATTTAAAAATGAAATTATTTTATTATTCATCTTTGTAGAACATCAAAATCTCCCTAAAGGAAACTTAAATGTGTTTCTTTTCTTTCTTTTTAAAAAATATACTCTAGCAGTTCAACTTTTTCCTCCGTGTCCGATTCTCTGTTCCTGCAATGGTGCTGTTGAGTTAAATACTGACAAACACCAGGAACCAGGTCCTTGGTCTTGGATGGTGGTGAATGTTTCCAAGTTACATTAGAAAGAAATCATAAAACAGCAAACTCTACATTATTTATATCCAGAGAAAATGAACATTTATAGGCAATCTCTGTCATAAGGCACTTAAGTCCTTCATCCCACTTAAGAACTGGCTAATGTTAGGCTCACCAATTCCTGCAAAATAGTTTAATAAAAAATTCCATTTCCCTTAACTCTATGATGTGTGACTGCACTTACTATTATTTCTGAGAGAAACGCCTCTTCCATTTCCTTTTAAAATCACTGTCTTCTTAGTATAATGTCACTTAGTGTAATGTTACTTGGCCCTGCAGACCCTCTCATGTTCCCCATTCTTACATCAGCTAGAAAACTAAGTCTCCTTTCTTTTTATCTACAAGTCTGAGGACAGACAGTAGAGATGCTTGCAAGCACGCGGAAGGCCCTGGACCTGGCTACCCTTGTCTCTCTTGATGTGATAGGTAGCACTTGGACCTTATAGTAGAAAGTGGGGAGGAAACAGGATCCGCTACTTGAGCTGCACAAGTGCGGGCAGGTCTCCTTATGTCCAGTTTTCTCTTCAGTAAAATGAGAGTTCCATTTTAAAATGAGGATAACTCACAGGCTCTGTGTGAGAGTTGATTATTCCTTTAAGCCATTTTATCAACTGCCTTCTAACCCCTTTCCTGCTAGCCCCCATTCTTTCACCAGTGATCTTTCAGAAAAATGATCTGATCCCATGAGTCATAAGCTTGCTCAAAACCTGACAGTCGCTCCCTATAGCTTTTTTAGATTTGCCTGGTTGTAGCACAGAATGCTGTGTCAATTAGTTGGTTACCCTCTTGTACAGGGAGGTCTTCCAGTGGGTCTCCACCCACCTTCCTAGTATTCATCTCCCACCACTCACTTCTGTTCACCTACTCGCTTTTCTGCACTTGAGAACACCCCAGAAACCATTAACAAAATGCCGATGCCCTGGCCCTGCCTCTTGAGAACTTGATTTCATTGTTTGGAGTAGGACCGGAGTATCAATTACCAGGTGATTCTGGTAGCTTTGCAGCCAAGGATGAAAACCTTGAAGTCTCCAGCTACCTCATGTGCCATTCACTGTGACTGAGCTGAGCTTTCCCTGCTTTCTTCCCTTCAGCTAATACTGGCTCAACCCCTTCTTCCAGGAAGCCCTCCCATACTACTCCAGGTAGACTTAGCTACCCCTGTCTGCTACCCTGGTTTTTCATTCATTAGTACCTGGCCATTCTGCATTACTATTGGTTTTCTCGAAGCGTCTCCCTCATTAGATCTTGAGTTTCTTTCAGGATGAGATTTTATCTTTTCTCCACACAGGCTCTGGCACATTGCAGGCTCTCCATAAGTATGTGGTGAAAACCTCTTGTGAGTTTGGTTCTAAGAAAGGGACATTGACACAATAACCCTAGTGTATAAAGGAATAGAGGTTAAGGGAAAAACTAGACCCAGTACAAAATAATGGTTTAACATATCTATAAAAATGGACAATCTCTAATATTCAAATGTTTGAAAATTTTCATTTTGCTCTTTTGTAGGTAATGAATTTTTTCTCTTCCAGGGAGAGAGAAAAGACATTAGGAAAGTGCTCCTCCACCCACATTGCTTGTCGTGAAATTGTAACTGGAAATGATTCTCTGACTAAGTCATTTTGGCTCTGTGTGATTTTCTCTCTTCCTCCTGTTCTTGCCTCAGCTGGTCATCCCCCTGTGTTTCCTGCGAAGCAGGAAGGTTCAGCACTAGGTCTTTCTCTCTCTCTCTCTCTCTCTCTCTCCCCCCCCACCCCCTACTCCCTTTAATCGGCAGGCTTTCAGATCTTCAAAGCAGCCTGTGTCCAATGTGACCCCACTCCCTCGCCTCCCCATGCTGGGGAGTGAGCACTGTAAGTATTTTTGTCATTTTGACGACTTGCATATTTGGACAGCCGGAGAGTGTGACCCTCACCAAGTCTGCAGGGATGAGAGCGAGTCAGCGTTTCCCAAGTCCCCTTTCACCCCAAATCCAGACACTGAAAAATTGACACCAGACCCCAGAGTTAAACAAACAGAAAGTTTATAGTTCTCCTTGCATTTGACCCATCCCCCGGGGTAGCAACCCTGGTCTTCTGCCTTTTTTGGCAATTGAGTCCTTGCTGTTGGTGTTCCTCAAACTCTCTCAACCTTTGTGATTATCTGCAGTGTTTGGTCCTGGACAAGTTTGAAAGCTCTGATGATGAAATTCAACTCACCCAATGAGCCCTTTCTCTGCTGGAGGAAAACAGGTTCTGGGCTGGTGTGGTGTTTCCTGACATGCATCCCTGGACCAGCTCCCTACCACCCCATGTAAAGTACAAGATCCAGATGGACATAGACGTGGTGGAGAAAACCAATAAGATCAAAGACAGGTGAATGTTTCAGGAAAACCCAGAAGGACCTGGGCATCCCCAGGGAGGTGAGGCAAGGAAAGAGGGCTCTTCTGGTCTCAGGCCACCCGTCTCTTCCTGGGGGCAGGAGGGCTATTTGAAAAAGGAGAGAGACACCTGGGTATCAAAGAATGAAATTAGCCAATTGGATCTGGCTAATCTCCTACTTGAGTCTAGGAGATCTCAGCTATCCTGTCTTCACCCCTCAGCTCAGCACTTGAACCTGGCTGGATTTGTACAATTTGAAGATGGATACCTCTAGGTATTGAATCATCTTCGCACAGAGATTCTGACAAGGTCACTGGGAAATTACATTTAGTACAGAAAAAGGGATTGAGACTGCATTCAACCTATGCATCAATAAAGTTAAATAAGAGGAAATATGATGATTTGTAATGCTCAAGATAGAGTCCCTGATTGAATGTAGTTACAAGTCATGTGTAGCTAATATAATATTATAACAGATTTAAACATGAGTTAGAAAATGGAGACCAATAGTTTGGAAAAGTTTAAAGGAATGTCTTTAAGAGAGCGAGTTCCAGGTTACCTCATCCCTCTCTCTGGTTTCTTCTTAGGTATTGGGATTCTGGTCCCAGGGCTGATCCTGTGGAAGATTTCCAATACATCTGGGGAGGGTTTGCCTATCTGCAGGACATGGTTGAACAGGGGATTACCAGGAGTCAGGCCCAGGCTGAGGTCCCCATTGGAATCTATCTCCAGCAGATGCCTTACCCCTGCTTTGTGGATGACTCGTGAATTGAGGCTTCTCACCCTCTTCCCTGACAAGATAATAAGGTGGCTGGTGGGAAATTCAGCAACTCTCCAGGGAGAAACCTGGGGGTTGGGACCACACTGGGGAGAATGGTACTATGGCTGAGGAGCCTGCTTCTCCCAAGCTCCAGGCAGGACCATAGGCACAATCTGTAAAGTGGTATGGGTAGAAAAGTGAAGGTGAAAATTAACACAAGGGAAGTGGAATTGAGGAGGGAACAAGACTTTTTAAATTTCCACTGCGTAGTGTGTTTGGTATGTGGAAGGAGTCTGGTCAGCAGGTCTGCCCAATGATTGCCAAATTAGCAAATCAGGATTCTGCATGCAAGTAGATTCGGTGCCTAGGAGCCTTGGAATAATGCAGCTCCTTCCCTAATTAACATTCCCATGATGTACACTTAATGAAAAGGTAGAGGAATGTGTTAGATGAGCTCAGGCCCTCCCTCCTTGCCCACTGCCTTCCCCAGGCCTGCACAATTGCTGGCCAGTAGCAAGCCAAGCAAGTAGCCTACTGCTTTCTGAACTTGGATTTGGGGGAGTGGAAGAAAGAGGGACAGAGAGGAAGAGGGGGCTGGGTGGGCTCATTTACCATGGTGGATGAGGCAGAAATCCTATTGCTGGCTTAGATATCAATGCCTAGAAAACAACTGGGAAGTTCACCATAGTGGTGTACTTGTTTGTCTGCAAGATTCAGAGAGTAGATCAACACACAGAGTTGTAAGAAAGGAGAGTCAGATTGTCACTTGGCAAGACATTAAAAGAGAGGCCAGTATGGGCACAAGAAACACTTTCATACCACTTTAGTCCTGTCAGTTCTCCCTCCTCAGCTCTAGAGAAAACTAAAAACCTTTCTATAGTCACTTTAGGTTTGGACTATAAGCTAAGATGAGAAATGGAGCCAGAAACAAAATTCCAGTTCTACTTTTAGGATCAGATGCAAATGGCTGGTTGGGAAGTGGCAGTAGACGTATGGCGGCAATAGGAATTCAGGCCATTCAGTATGGGAGAGAGTCCTCTAGTGGCTGGCCCCAGAAATGCAGCCTTTATGACTTGATGGTCTCTTTCCCTGGGGCCATCTTGATTGAAAGGATCCCATGCTGGAATTGGGCCAGTTCCATGACAGTACAACAATTTTCTGTAGATAATAATCCCAAAGGCTTTACTAACACATCAAGTCCAGGATAAACATATGTAAAGTTCACAATAAAGTAATTGCTGAATATCAGATTTACCCTGCTTGCTGGGGTAAATGAGAGCCATGGATCTACTCCATCTATGCATGGCTGGTGGAGTCAGTGGGTCACTGATTGATGTATTGATGGGTCAGTTGCTTTCTGAAGGTGCCACGCTGATATGTTATTTTGTGCCTCTTCCTGCTTAACTGGGGTTTATACTCCAGGGTAGACAGTGTTACACTAGTAGGCTCCCTTGGGAAGCCCAATTATTGATCTCAACATCAGTAATTTGTGGTCCACACTCTTGGGCATCACTGTCAGTTAGCATGTGCCTGTGTATTCCAGTCACATCATCAAGTCTGCAGTCCTTTCCAGTGAGACCTTACAGGGAAGTTTTTAACAGTGTTATATACATAGCATGATTTAATTTATACATTTTACTTATAGAGCATTCACCTAGGTTAACAAAAAAGCTACCATCTTGTGCTAAAGAAAATGTAAACCTTCAAAGAAAAAGTGCAGTGCCGTAAAAGATTCACATCATTAAATTACCAGTGAATTTTTTCTGCCTTTCATTCTACCTCAGCTTTGTTTTCAACACATCCATTCAACAAAAATTTACTCCACGTCTGCCAGGTATAGGGCATTCTACCACCCTGCTTCTCTCCTTTTGCTTCAGTTTTATGATCATCCTGAACCGCTGCTTCCCTATCTTCATGGTGCTGTCCTGGATCTACTCTGTCTCCATGACTGTTAAGAGCATTGTCTTAGAGAAAGAGTTAAGACTGAAGGAAACCTTAAAAAATCAGGGTGTCTCCAATGCAGTGATTTGGTGTACCTGGTTTCTGGACAGCTTCTCCATTATGTCAATGAGCATTTTCTTCCTGATGATATTCATCGTGGTAAGTTAGATGGAGAAAAGTTTACATACCTTTGCTCCTCCTACCTTTCCTCCTGTTCATGAACTTGTGCTTGGATCTGGCCATGAGGGATAACATGACATGTAGCTGTCTAACCATTTTAGCCAAGGCTGAAGACAGCAATCAAGTCTCCCCGAAGAGCCACGGTGCCATAGTGTCATCCCTTCCCCCGCTTTCTGCCCAGGAAACCATAGCCTACATAGCTTTTCCGGTATCATCCTGTGGAATATCTGGAGAAGCTGCTGTTAGCAAAGTCCAGCACAGGATGATTGGATGTGTAAAGGGATCTCCCTTTTGAAGAAAGGAGCACGAGGAGTGTTTTCCTGGGATTACGATCCCAACCACCTGTTGGGGAGGGCATGTGAGCAGCCTTTTCAGGGTATTAGGGGAGGAGACCCAGAATATTCTTTAATTAGCATCATGGTCATGTCGTTCATGGATTCACCAAAGAATACTCTGCTGCCTGCAAAATCCTCCAGATTTCTCTGTTTTAAAGGATGGAATTTGGAAGCTATCCTTTCTCAATGATAAGGAGGTTTTATAGCTGCAGGCATGCATCAGTCCATCCTCTACAAACTTGCAGCTCCCTCAAAAGTTAGACTTAGAAATAAAACATTTCCTAATACACTGCTATCCTTCATTTTTAGTTCCTCCACAATGGATATCTTTTGTTCTTGTCGAATGATATGGACATAAATTTAGGTCATTTTTAAATAAAATTTTAATGGGATATGGTATGAAATTCAGACTTTTGACTTTGTAAGCTCCTGATACAGCCTCATCAAGCTGTCCTGCCTCTTTATACCTCTGCATTAGGGAATTAGTGTTCTGACCCACAGACTGCAGCAAAGTGTCTGAATTCATGCTGAACCACATACAGTGATCTAAGATCAGTGATCAACCTGATCTAAAAATGTTCCATCATATATCCTGCCCAACCAACATATATCCAGTTAAACCAAATCCTGCTCCTTCTCTTTGCAGCAAAATGTACTAGTCTGAAGGGTTTTGGTTAGTGTTGCACTGGGATGCAGTGATCTGTGACCTTTGTCAAACCTTGTGCTGGTGCCATATCTAAATGAATGCCAACATAGAGGTCAGTTTACACAACCTGATCCCACACTGGTGTGGTTTTAAATTTGCAAAATTTCCCAGAGCTTCACAAAGATGAGGAGAGAAGCTGAGGAACTTATTTTCCTCTAAGGGCACCTTGCTTCTTCCTATCCTTCAGTCTGTTCTTTCCCCCACTAGCAAAATATTTTGTGTCCTCAAAACTAAAGGAGTCAAAATGCATTAGCATTTGACTTTTGCTAATGCATCAACATGCATGACATCTTACAATGGTCATGAGAATTGGTTCAACTTATTACTGATAAATGACATTGAATTTTGCCTTCTTAAGAATGGGCATTCGGACTTCAAAGCTTTTGGGACAATGAGGTTAAGAATTTTCACCAAGAGTTTCTTGCACAATGGGGTTTCTCCTTGTGGGAACCAGAAAATTGTTCCAGTGATGACGGAAACAGTTTTCCACACCAAAATAGGATTTTCTTTTGAATGACTCTCCCATCTTTCCCTTGTCCTTCCTTCCCATCTCAACCATTCAGGAAAGAAACTGGAAATTTGGGACAATGAGAAGGTTCCATTGTTATGAAAGTGGCCAGTAGAGGAAGCCCACACCAGTGAGATTGTTGGGTCAGCCAAGTGACTTTCCTCTGCCTTAAGTCAAAGAGAAAATACACAACCTTAGAAGTCTGCAGGATTTTGTTTGACCTGGAATAAGAAATTGACTTTATTTTTCTAAAAATAGCAACACACCATCTTAAAGTTCTTCCAGCTGAAAGCTACATGTTCAGTCATGGACTTGGCTTTTATCAAGTTGTATGTGATTAAGGAAAAGATGTGAGCTGTCCGGGGTGAGGTCCAAAGTAAGGAGATCTGAATCCTAATATTGACATTTTTTTTTAGATTTCTTCAAACTGGTTTTAGTTAAGAATGACTCTCTTCAACCCTCCTTTGCCACTTGTCTTATTTTATTTTTCGAGGTGTTCTATTAGTTACTGGCAGGCAGGAGAGCATGAATGAAGGAGAAATGGTAGCAACAGTTGATAAGCAGCACATCAGTTCCATTCAACTCTCTCCTCCCCATGACAGATTTTGCTAATAGATCTCTTTCCTAAGAGGAACCCAGTGGTTGGGGCATCACTTCCAGTTGATCAGAACCCATTCAAAGGATGATCCTATATTTACCTCTATGTTGCTGAGGAAAGACAACCTATATGTTCTTAGAGTCATGTGCAAAAGGCAAACAGGACAACCTATATGTAACTTAGAGTCATGTGCAAAAGCTAAAACTCCTCATAGGCTGCCTATAACAAAGGAGAACCAAGGACTAACAAATTGGCACTTCTCTGTTTATTCTGTAATGTAATTGAGAAGTGGATCACTTATTAAAAATAGTTTGTCCTATTTTCTACAAAGTGATCAACTCATTAGTTAATGTGGAGGATACTGAGTATTGCCCACAGGTTCTATGGAGTGTATTGACATGATATTAATGGGAAGGGAGGATTAATCTACTTGCAGGTGATATGGATTAATTACTAATATTTCCCCCTATTTGTGAGTGACAAGTCTCAGAATACAAGCACAAATGATTGCATAAAGCCCAGGCCCAAGGGAAAATGCTAGAGATTATGAAATGGTCTCCACCTCCCTTTCCTTGTCCTCGTCTACTCGGTATATCCTGCAGCTCTTGATGCTCCAAGACCCCCGTGCAGGTCTGCCTCTTCTGCACTAGGCTTCTGCATGCTATGCCCTTCCCACCAATAATTAGTGTACTGAAAGGCAGCCTAGTGTGTTACCTCCCAGGGAAAATGGCACTCATAGGGTTAAAAACTCAACATATTGAGACTTGAATGTAGAAGTTTAGACACCAAAAAAGGCTAGTGGGGAATATCCATCCATGATAGAGAGCTTCTGAGGGCACCAGAACCACTGCACAGAGGTCACCCCCTGAGGCCAGTACCCTGAATGTGTGCAAATTACTGACTCAAGTGCCTCTGGTTTCAGCATGGAAGAATCCTCCACTACAGTAATCCGCTCATCCTCTTCCTGTTTCTGTTGGCTTTCTCTGCTGCAACAATCATGCAGTGCTTCCTGCTCAGCACCTTCTTCTCCAGGGCCAGCCTAGCAGCCGCCTGCAGTGGCATCATCTACCTGACACTCTATCTGCCCCACGTTCTCTGCTTCGCCTGGCAGGACCAAATGACGGCCAACCTGAAGATGGCTGTGGTAGGTGACTGTAGGCCACCCCTAACCTGTGGTATGGTTCTTCTGAGGGGTCTAGAATAGCTTTGGAGGACTGATCACCTTTTGAGGGCATGCACTTTGCTTTTGGGGGACCTAAGACTAAAAGGCACAGGGGCAGAATTGGGGAAGTGGAAGCAGTCTTCATCATGAGCCACCTAACAGCTCTTCCTTACCAAACCTGCTTGATGAGTTGAGCCTGGAAAGGAATTGAAAACCAGTTCAGTTCTTGGGTCCCTTTGTGCATGCACACGAGAACAGCTAAGTCCATCTCACTTAATTTTCCTTTCACAGTGTTTGAGAAGATTCAGAAAGGAGGGAGCATGTCCCCTTGTCCCCACTGTTCTATCCAGAAAGACATTTCCATAAATTAAAAGTTTATGCTTCTCTCCAAAGGAACTTGATTAGCTCTACAAGTGTCTCTATCATGTTTGGGGCCACAGTGGGGAATTTCCCTATTCTATCTGGGTTCTTCCAAAGTTGGACACAAGAATAAATGGACAGATTAATAAGAGAAAAAGCCCAAATTTAATAATATATGAATGGTGAATTTGCAGTTATAAATTCTAAAGAATAATAGAGGAGACTAGGGATATTTATGCTCCATTTAGGGATCTGGGGCATCAAGAAGGCAGGGGTGGAGTGGTGGGGACTTCACATGACAGGCAAGAAAGGGTTACCTCACCCTTACTCTGAGAATAAAGATGAGCTTCTTAGATAGAGAGGACTTACTCACTGATAAACCTATATTTGGATAACACCTCCCCCCCTAGATTACATTCTTCTAGGTCATAAAATGGGGAGCAGCAGTCACTTCTCTGATTACAAAAAGGGCAGAAGCTTAGGAGTGATGATCTCTTTTTCGATTAGGAAGGCATAAGGACTTAGGCAAAGACAAAAATTTCTCAGCCTCAGGGAATTCATTGCTTTCAGCTTAAAATACTCTGCATGCCAAAGAGTTTTGAGGAGAAAGATTCTGAGAATTTAGGGGTGTCTGATTTGGACACTTTCACATGCTATGCCACTGCATGCACAAAGACTGGCAAAAATGAGCGAGCCTTACATCAGGCACTTTTTGAGAAGAAGACTCCAGAAACTAACTTGATTGCCCAAGATCTCTCTTAGTTCAGGACTCCAAAGCTAACAGCACTGTCTTTTTCACTAATTGTTTACAAAGCAGCCATTTCCATCTTCTTCTTAACCAGGCTAACCAGCTTCCAGGCCTTGTAGTATACAGTTTTCCTTGCCCTACCCGATTGTCCTGTCCACAGTTTTTATGTAAGAGGGTTGAGAAGGAACTGCCACCAACTCTCACTGGGAAAGATCTAAGGTCTGAATGGTTCTCATGACTTAAACTGAGTTGGTCTCAGAGCCAAGGCATCAGTGTTAAATAAAAAATTGCTGCCATTTATAGCACCCAGTTTTCTAAAATAATCACAATGGCCTAGTGGTAAGAAATCCTATGACTCCCTCTGTGAGCAGAGCCAGGCTATCCTGGTGCAGTGGGTGGAGGGACGGGGCTGTGAGGCCACACCTGGCTTCAAGGGCATGTGAATCTACCAGGAAACTTTAGCTCTTGGGGAGGATACACTACATTTCCAGTTACAGATTTCTTAATGGCCCTGTCCATGGGTGTTTCTCTTCAAAAGAACTTGAATCTGGATATCTCTACAAGTGTCTTTATCATGTTTGGAACCACAGTGGGGAATTTCCTGTCCATGGGATAGGTATGAATCTACCACAGTTAATGCCACATATAGACCTCACATGACTACAGAGATCCCAAAACTCCTTTTGGCATGACCCTTATTACTTCTTTTGGTCATCTTGGAAGCAAGGACCCAAGAAAGCTACTTTAAATGGTTTTTTTGAACATGTAGTTAAGGAATCCTTTCTTCCTGCAGAGAGACCCTCTAAACCCCACCCTGGGTCTTGCAGGGAGGCCTCTGAGCAGAGAAAATGGGAGCAGCCCATCCTTTGCATGTGCTCAAGTGCTTGCTGCTCTGGGGGAACCACCTGTAGGGGCTTCACGGGGAGCTTCCTCTTCAGACTTCCTTCTGCGCACTTGATCAGTTGAACTTTTCCCGCCACAGGAAACTAAGAAAAGAAAATGACCCCCCCCCCAGTCTAGAGGTGGGAAAAGCTAATAGTCAACATAATCTAAGGAGGCCGTGAGACCTCAGCAGATCATGAGGCTACCCCGTCTCTGGCCCCAAGCCTGCTCTGGGATACTGATGATTGAGGGCGCTGCTGGGCCCTCACAAAGCTGCACAACTTTGCTTCTTTGTCCTGCCGAGAATTGTGGGGTCTTAAGAAAGAAGTAGGCAGAAGAGGGTAAGGGAGGAAGGTACACCCAAGGGCCTCTGGTCCTTCTGCGTGGCATGCTTCATGGTATTTTCTTCCCTATTCCATAGAGTATGTTTCATGGAATAGGTGAGTGGCCTAGGGTGTATTGAGCAGGTATCCCTGAGACCAAAGTCATTTCCAGAACTCTCTTCCTTTGGGAAGACTGCCTTAGCCCCTCTCTTGGTGGCCTTATACCTGAACTCCACATTGACCATTTTCTTTTTCTTTTTTGGCCTCTCTACTTAAAGTGTGGGCATCTAGTTGTTGTTGGGTTGATTAAAAGACACTCTGCCCAGTCATCTATTTTTGAGCATTTGGGTTGTTTCCCATAGCTTAGCTATTATAAATAGTGCTGCTATAAACATAGGGGTGCAGGTGCCCTCCTGAATTAATGTTTCTGTGTCCTTTGGGTAAATACCTAGGAGTGGAATTGCTGGATCATATGGAAGCTCCATCTTTAGCAGGTTGAGGAATCTCCACACAGCTCTGGATAGTGGTTGGACCAGTTTGTACTCCCACCAACAGTGCAGGAGAGTTCCTTATAGAAGACTGGATCAAGAAGATGTGGTACATATATACAACGGAATATTACTCAGCAATCAAAAAAGATAAACTCATGCAATTTGCAGCAACATGGATGGAGCTGGAAGGGATCAGGGTCAGTGAAATAAGCCAGAAAGAAAAAGAAAAATACCGGATGGTCTCACTCGTAGCAGGAATTTAGAAAGCCTAAATAAGGGACCAGGAAAAATTCTAATTATAATAAAGTAAAAATCAAAATCAACAAGCAACTATAAACCAGAAACACACTATGGGGTTGTGGGGAGGAGGAGGTACTAGGATCAAAACAAGAGGGGTGGGAATTGTATGGGGACTATAACCAAGATGAAAATGTATACATTGTTCAAAAATGAAAAATGATGTAAAAAATATATAAAATAAAATAAAATAAGTCAAACAAACAAACAAAAAGACACTCTGCCCATTTGTTGTGCCCTCTTTGCCCCACTGCAGAGCCTGCTGTCTCCTGTGGCATTTGGGTTTGACACTGAGTACCTGGTTCGCTTTGAGGAGCAAGGCCTGGGGCTGCAGTGGAACAATATTGGAAACAGTCCCATGGAAGGGGATGAATTCAGTTTCCTGATGTCTATGAAGATGATACTCCTCGATGTAGCTCTGTATGGTCTTCTTGCCTGGTACCTGGATCAAGTGTTTCAAGGTAAGTGTCCCCTTCCATACAGTAAAAGTATTTGTTTCTCCTGCACCCCTATGTTTATAGCAGCACTATTTACAATAGCTAAGCTTTGGAAACAACCCAAATGCCCAAAAATAGATGACTGGATCAAGAAGATGTGGTACATATACACCATGGAATATTACTCAGCATTCAAAAAAGATAAACACATGCAATTTGCAGCAACATGGATGGAGCTGGAAGGGATCATGCTCAGCAAAATAAGCCAGAAAGAAAAAGAAAAATACCAGATGGTCTCACTCATAGCAGGAATCTAGAAAACTTAAATAAGGGACCAGGAAAATGAATAACTATAGGAAAGTGAAAATCAAAATCAACAAAAAACTATGAACCAGAGACACTCTATGGGGGGTAGGGGGTGGGAGGGGAGGGATTGGGGTCAAAATAAGGGGGTTGCAATTGTATGGGGAATATAAAAATAAAATTTATTATTAAAAAATGCAGAAGAATGCAATAACTGTATATAGTTTATAATAACACAAATCAAAATAATATACATTAAACATGTAAAAATGATTGCCTGTGGGAGTTGGAGATAGACATGGGAAATGGAGGTAAATGGGAGTGAATGGATCTACAGTCCAATAAATGAAAGAAGGAAGGCGAGAGGGAGATCTGGGTCCTCGTGCAGAGGAATTGTAGAAATGATTGACTATGCTCTTTGCTTCCTCTTTCCTAAATAAAAATGATCATTAAAAAAAAAGTATTTGTTTCTTTAGCTCCCAGCCCTTTATTTCTCATCTCATTTAAATCTCATTCTCCTTTGTTTGAATGGGGGCTTTCAGAACCAGCATTTGAAATTTAAATCCACGAGTCAAATATCCATCAGTAATGCAGTTAACTCTACTTTAAAACGGTTCCAGGATCTGACTTTGCTCACTATCTCTGTTTCAGCTTTCCCAGTTCAAGCCTCCTCCTTCCACCATCTTCTCCTACCAGTCCCTTTTCCACATTGTATTCAGAGATCCTTTTGGAATCTAGGTTAGATGGTGTCAATCCTGCTGTTCAAATCCCTCCAGTACTGGCTTTTCTTCTTGTTCAGCATAAAATCTAGTGTCCCAATCCTGGCCTGCAAAACGATTCATTATTGGTCCCCAGCTGTCTTCCTCATCTCATGGCCTTCCCTTCTTCCCATGTTTCTCTGCTCCAGCCACTCTAGCCTCCTTGCTATCAATATGTTAAGTACATTCCTCCTCAGGACCTTTGCACCTGCTGCTCACTGCCGGGAGCATACTTATACACACACACATGCACACACATGCACACACATACCCCCCTGAAGACTTGCTTTCTTACTTTGTTCAGACCTCTATTCAGTTGTCCCCCTATCATTAGCATCTTTGCAGAATAAAAATATCTAAATATTTACCCCTCTATAAATTCCATTCCTGCAGGGCTCCTGGCCTGTTTTCCTACTTCATTTTTGAAACATCACCATCTACCATGATGTGTCTTTCTGTGTCTGTGCATTGACTCTCTCCCCTTAGTGGAAGATGGGCCCGTCTGGGTAGGACCATGGTCCATTTTGCTCACTGTTATGGCATTAGTGCTCAGGCCTGACTTTTGGAAGATGCTGAATAACCTGATTAATCTGCATCATAGAAATTCAGCTCCCAAATCAAAATCAGTTATTTGCGGGCCTCCCCTGGTGGCGCAGGTGGTTGAGCGCCACTCTATGAAGCTGCCTGCGGGCTCTGCAGTGCTGGTTTGATCCTGGCCGACTGGCGAGGGTCCCACATGGCACTGCAGACCTCTCCTGTTGCGCCCGCTGCTTCCCTTAGCAGTGTATTTCATCAATCTACCTGTTCTGTTCCCTGCTCTGTCTCTGGTGAATCCTATCACCCTTCCGCACATCTGGCCTGTACCCCAGTTCTTGTATAAATAAATAAATAAATAAAATAAATAAATAAATAAATAAATAAATCTTTTTAAAAAATCAGTTATTTGCACAGCTTAGCATTTCCTTTGCTTAAATCATATTTTCCTTCAAATTAGTGTTTCCTTGTAGCTAGAGATGTCTCGGCTTCTGTGTGAATGGTCCTCAAGCCAACCAACTGCCCCCTGCACTATGGCAGCTGGGACCTCGGTCTTAGTGCCGTCGCCAGCTACAGGTCGAGGAGAGGAAGGCTGGGCCAGGTCCTTGGGGAGGGATGAACTTAGGCTTTCAGATCATTTCAGGGCAGCCTTTTGTCAGCAGAAATGTGTAGACGGCAGCCCTGGAGCAGGAGAAAGGTTGCTAGGCTGAGTCAGGAGATCTGGCTTTGGATCCTAGCTGTGTGACTATATTAGTTTCTACAGCTGCCATGACAAAGAGCCACAAGGGAGAGTAAAATAACAGAAATATACTGTCTCACAGTTCTGGGCTATGAAGCCCAAAATCAAGGTGTAGGCAGGATCACATTCTCTCTGAAACCTGTAGGGGACGATGGATCCTCCCTGTCTCTTTCTAGTTTCTGGTGGTTTTTCATAATCTTTGATGTCCCTTGGATTCCTTGGAGACACATCACTCCAGTCCTCTGTATCACATGTTGTTCTCCCTGTGTGTCTGTCTTCACACAGTCCCCTTCTTAAAAGGACATCAGTCTTACTGGATTAGAGACCACCTACTCCAGTGTAACTTAATCTCTGCTAGCTGATCCCATCTGCAATGACACTGTTTCCAAGCAAGACCACATCTGTGGTACCAAGGGTTAGAACTCTGGTGTCTTTCTTTCTACTATCGCTTCCAATACTGAATGTGTCAATGTGTCATTTTTGCCCAACACCAACCAATTCTCTGGTACCAGATGGGTATCCAACACTTCGACTTAATTCTGACAATAATTACCCAGAATTAGAGCCCTCCCCTTAGTCTCAGTTCCACAAGACTGCTTCCCCTTCAGATGCCAATCACAAATGCAGTGCCCAGGCTGCCCACACTTGTCCAGCTGATCTTAAATTGGGGGATTCTCACAACTCCCTCTCGGGTTCAGTAATTCACTGGAACAGCTCACAGAAATCAGGAAAGTGGTCTTCCTAGCAATTATATCTTTATGATAAAGAACACAGCTCAGGAACAGCTAAGTGAAAGAGATGAATGGGTGAGGGGGCATAGAGCTACCATACCCCCTCCATCCCCTACCCTCCCAGCACCTTGCTGTGTTCGCCAACCTGGAAGTTCTCTGTATTTCATTGTTCAAGAGTTTTAATAACCCAGTACCCAGCCTCCTCTCATTCTCTCTCGATGGGTTTGGTTTTTCTGGTGACTGGCCCCCTCAGGAAGTTATCTAGGGACCCACATGCTGAGTCACCTCATTAATATAAGCTCAGTTGTGATCAAGAAAGAGCCTTACGAGGAACAACAAAAAGCACTCCTAATATCAGGAAATTGCAAGGGTGTTAGGATCTTTGTGCCAGAAGCTGGGAGTAAAGATGAAGTATGTTTTACATTATTCCATACTTCAAGATATGCTTTTTGGGAGAAGGTTGCAGGCAGCACACAATCCACCCCAAACCAGGGACTTTGAACAATATACTTGCCCTTGCTCAGCTACAGGACTTTTTCTGTCTCACTGGGTCATTGGAAGGAGATACAATAAGCTAAAAATTACTTGGATTTAGCATTAGATGTGTACAAAATTCAACACTTTATTTTAGTGAAACTAAAGCTTTAATTGTTCAACAACTGATCAGTACCTGTTAGGCTCAGCAGCACCAGGTTCTAGGAAAAGAGTGATAGAAGAGCAGACTCAGTCCTGAGCAACTGACAGTCTAGCAGTGAAACGGAATAACTATTCAATAAGCCAAGAGCATATCCTAGAAAAAAAAAAAAAACAACCTTTTAGGGGAGTGAAATGTAAGAGATGTGGACTGGAAATGTGGGGGTCTTTTTCTTGAAATCCAGACATATCCAGTAGACTGGGTGGGTTGCCATCAGTGGTATTGAACCAGATTGCCCATGTTGGAATTCCCACACCTCTGTTTAATTCACTGTGACCTTGGCAGGTGATTCTAACTCTGTGTGCCTTAATTTCCTTATCCACAAAAATAAAAATGCTACCTATCTCTTAGGTTGCTTTGAGGATTCAGTGATTTAACACATGGAAAGGGCTTACAGTAATGCCTGACACAGGAAGCACCCAGCAAGTGTTAGTGATCATCATGACTAGTTTTATGTGCTAACTGTTGAAAAGAGCATGATTTAATTCTTGAAAGAGATGTGTCCTTGGAAAACGAATGCCAATTGAGATCATCAGTCTTAGGGTTACCGGGTCCACCCAAAAACCATGACTTTTTTAATTTAAAAATTTTGGACTTGTGGTAGCATGTGGATAGCTAGCTGCGTAGTTTTGTGAACTTTAAAGATCTACAGTTACAATTGATAAATTTTAGATTGTACGGAAGTGTGGTAGGGCAGGACCACATATGTATTTTCTCTTTATTTACTTGTTTATTTTTAGGGGACTATGGAACCCCACTCCCTTGGTACTTCCTTCTGCAAGAGTCCTATTGGCTGGGTGGTGAAGGTGAGTTATCTTAAATTGTTTTTTAAAACTCTTAATGCTTGAAACCACTTCCTTTGGCTATGCATGGAATGTGTGTGGGTTGTAGAGGTGGCTCTTACACCAAAGTGTACAAGTCCCAATTTATCAGCTGCCTCCTGAGGGCTCTGCCACAGCTTTCGGGGGTATAGCAGCACAGCATCAGGGGCCACGTTTTGTGAGTCATTAGACCAGGGTGATTGAGCATTAATAAGCCCTATGTCCAGCACACCTTGGGTCCAATGGATTAAATCACCCTAGTCAATGAAGACCAACTCACTTCAGGGTGTAAGTATTTTGCAACTTTTCAGATTAAAGCGAAGAGATCCACAGAATCAAGAAGCGACTTTGCATTTGTCTTCTGCTGCCCCTGTCCTGCTTTTTGATTCCTTGCCATCTTTTCAAGATACAAATAAATTCATTCTTCCAAAGTAAAGGCAAAAACTCCCAGACTCTCCTCTTGATCTTTGCTGTGGCTGGGAAGAGTGCTGAGAGGACATTGCCCAGAATGTATCTTAGATAAAATTTAGGTTTCTTACTGCACAAGACAGGAGGCCAAGGGAGAGAGCCAGACGTGGGGAAAAACACAGATTCTTTTTGTGAGGTATAAGAAAGCAAAGAAATTCCAGAGTTGAGGGCTGGGGGCTACCCTGGAGCTAGGAGGTTCTGGAAGCAAAGGAAATACTTTCCAATCTGTTTGTTCCTCACCTACCTGCTCTTTGCTTTGTATTATTGGGCTTGGGCCAGGATTTGTCCTTTAAACACTGAGGTAGATGTTTGTTTTCTCTAGGGGATTAGCCTAGGGCCTTTAAAAGGCTTTGGGTGGGTTTCTTTCTTTCTCATGATTCAAACAAATAGTGCTTGGACAGCTTAGTACTTTTCCATTATGTTGGTGGGTCTGTCTTGTCAATCTGTAAACTTTAAATTTCTATAATAATCAAGTTACAATCTGCTGTAATTGGGGATTTTCAACATAAGAATATGTTCTGGAATGTTTCTAATGTCAATGAACATCAGGACTTGTGAACTTTTTTTTTTTCTCTACAATTTCAGCAGATACTCTGACTCTCAAAAAAAATTTAAGTGTGCATTTTCAAAAATGAATCACATATATTATTGCTGACAGAAACCAAATATTTTTCACCTGTCCCACAGGCTAGACTGAAACAGATTCCTGAAGTTCTTTGCAATCAAAAAAGAGCTGAGTGTCTCCACCTACCCAATCCTGAACCCCTTCACAGATGCAAAATGGAGCCCAAGAGACATCCAGTGTCTTGCCCAAGTGTTCATTGGTCACTTGGGTCAAATTCTAGATACAGGATACAGATTACTTGGCAAGGAATTCACTCCAGTGACTAACAATTTAGAAGAATATTTTTATGGGACAGGACTATAGGTTCTCAGGTGGTGGGTAGGGTGTGGTGACATACATCTAAGGAGGTATGAACCTAATTCTTTATATTACATATGGTGCTATAACCAACAATATCTCAATTTAAAAAAAATAACCTTCAGAAGGAAAAATGAGAAGTACCAGAGGTAGCAGGTCCCTGTCACTTGCCACCCCACCACACTTTCTGCAAATATGTGGCATGGACTGAGAGGCCTGGTTGGCTACTGCTTTAAAAACCTCACCCTGCTCACGTGTGCACTTGAGACAGAGCCTTGAGATGCTTGGCATTGGCAGTTTCCGCCTCCCCTGCTTTCCTCTCTGGCTGGCTTGCTCTTCTGCTCCTCTTCCCTTTCCAGGATGTCCTGATGTCCTTTTTAAACCAAATGCCAAGTTTACAAAAAAAGCATCTGTGTGTGTGTGTGTGTGTGTGCATGCTCATAATATAAGAATATGTGTTTACACAATACTTCCCAATTTGTGCAGGCCTGTACCTCAACTAGGCTTAACTGCTGTTAAACCCCCAATATATGAATGTCCATAGAGGTTGCTTTCTCAGGTAAGTCATTTCTCAGTCAGTAATTTGAGCTGGCTGAGTGTCAGGTCACCTTGAATGGACTTTTTCTCAAGGTTCACCTTGACTTTGACATATTTTAGATTGGAGTGAAAGTCTGCTGATGAGCTAAAGAAAATTAACCCATTTCAGATTCCATCCTGGTCTGTTAGCTTTCTGTTTTTTAATCACGAGTTTGGACACTGTGGGCTCCTCCTGACATACTAAGAGGGTGAGGTAAAACTCCTGTTACAAAATGCCCTGAGCTTTAGCAAAGATTGCACAATCTGTCCAGCTGGGAGGCACCCCTGGCCACTTTCAGAGAACTCCTCAGCCCTGTAGTTCATGGCCTGGCAGGGCCTGGCTCGGGCTGGTCTCTGGGAATGCTGACTTGGCCTTTTGGAGGAACTATGTTTTCCAGTTATGGTCATCGATTCTGCCTCCCTCCCTTCTCCCTTCCTTTCCTGCCTTTACTGATTCTCAGTTCTCACCAGGAGAGTAACAGTGAGTTCTGGTTGGTGCAGGGTGTTCAACCAGAGAAGAAAGGGCCCTGGAAAAGACCGAACCTGTGACAGAGGAGGAAGACCCAGAATGCCCAGAGGAAAGAAATGGTAAAAACCTCAGTGGAGCAGAGGGGAGGAACTCTGAACACTGCAAAGGGTCAGAACAAAGCAGCTTGGGATTGGGGTGACATGAAACCCAGGAAACTAACTCTCTGCAGTCATGAGTTAAACCTGAGAGCTTCTTGAGGGTCCAGCTGCACGTGTGCAGAATGAATGGTCCAGCCAGACATTAACACATATTTCCTGGAGAAAGCAAATCCAAAGTATGTGTTTGTGCCCTTGTTAGGCAATTCCCAAGTGAGTTGCAGAAATGTGCTGACTTCCGAGGATTTAGCAAGAACAATAACTTGGGTCACTAGGACTTAAAGCGGATATGAGCTATAAGGAAAGACAAAAATAAAAGCTTCTGTGCACACGGGGAAAGGGTCTAGTGGAGCTGACTGCTCTTTACTCACGGTTTACAAATCTAGGAGTCCATTCATTCAGGCCACCAGCCGCCTTTCCTGACCATGGAAGTTACCTAATGATTCCTGAACAAATGGTCTAGACTTGCAAGTGTTTCCCTGGCTTTTGCTGGCCTCAGTTCCCTCTTGAACCAGTCTCTCCTCCCTAAGCATCTGCCTTTCTCTGTGGATGCTGAAACGCTCTTGTTATCTCCACCCTGGGCTTACAGAGGCAACACAGCCTCTGGACTTTGCCTGACATGGCACGAAAAGGGTCTGCCTCCACGCCTCTGGCCCAGCCCAGGTGCCATTTCACAAAGCTGAGGTCAGTGACCCAGACTCCTCAGAGAGCTGGTTTACAGTCAACAGTGCCTCTGGGAAGACCTTTCTCTCAGGATGGAATTCCACAGCCAAAATCGGGGTTTTGTGGGCTGGTCTCACTTCAGTTACAGGCAAAGCCAAGAGACAGAGATAGAAGAAGCATTAAGATACTTTCAAAGGGGACCAAATGAGCCACAATATTAAGAAAACAAATTAATAGTGCTCTGTAGTGTGAACTAAAGCAGGGCATGACTGGGAGCCAGAAGAGAGGAGACACTGTGTTAGTGGGGTGAGGGGATAGAAAAGTGGAGGGGCAGAGTTTGAGGGACCGTGATGAGGAAGGGTGGACTCACCCACCCAATTAGTTGGAGAAACTCTGGAGTTTTGAAGAGCAAGAATTCAACTTTAGTCAAAGCTGACTCCAAGATTTGAGCCAAAGTGTCTAAGAGAAAGGCAGTTCCAGGAATGAACTTGGGAGAGGCTAAAGGAAAATATTGTTTGGGGAAGAAGAGGAGGAGCCAAAAAAACTGTAAGGAAATACCCTACAGACCATTGGAAAGAGGGCTTGGGACTGAGGATGGAACTTAAGGCTCATTTTCCATATAGATGGCGAGCGTAAATGGGTTGAGCCCCAGCTCTGCTACTCGTGAACCATGTGACCTAGATTGAATACTTGATGTCTGTGTGTTAGGTTTCCTCATTTATAGTCACGCACATAACAGTATCTGTCGCCCCCCTCCAGGGCTGTCATAGGGTCAAGTGGGGGTAATCCATATAAAACACTCCAAACAATACCAAGCACATAGCAACGGCTCAATAAACATTAGCTACTACTCTTATTAACATTATTATTCTGTAGTGGTGTTTACAGAGGTCATACTGAAGCCGAGGGGCAGAAGACAATGGACTAAAGAAAAAAACTCCAGTGGGTCTATTAAGGAATCTTTTCCTCACACTCATTTTTTCCTCCCTAGACTCCTTCTTTGAGCATGAGCTTCCAGGCTCCATTCCTGGGATATGTGTAAAGAATCTGGTAAAAACTTTTGAGCCCTATGGCAGACCAGCTGTGGACCACCTTAACATTACCTTCTACGAGAACCAGATTACTGCATTCCTTGGTCACAACGGATCAGGGAAAACTACCACCTTGTGAGTCTTTGGCCAGTCGAGCCTGCCATCTTTGGGTTCTAGTCTTCCCCTATTAGCTGCACTCCGCTCTTTCCTACTGTGTTTAATGACAAAACAGTACTCTATATATTGTGTCCCAAGAATATGTAAAGCACGTTGTAGAATTCAAAGCTCGAAGACACATTTTGTTTTATCTGATCCATACCCAAAGTTGGAGAGGCAGGTAAAAGTAAGTTTATTCTCCTTTCGTGTGCCAGGGACATGGACATCCAGGGTGTTAAAGCAACTTTCCTGAGGTCACCAAGTTGTAATGATTCATAGGGGTAAGAGCTAAATCCCGCCATGGTGGCCTCTTATCTCTGACACTGCAAGCCCATCCCCCAGCCACACCCTCCAGTGTTAGTCATGGACAGGGACAACAGAGTCATGGCCATCACCATCACCTGCTTGGTGGGGAGAGCACTGCTTATTTCAGAGCACATTCCTTTCCCTACTTATGAGAGGATGGTGGTAGTTCCAGAGAAAATTAAAAGGATGCAGTCTCTAGGGAGGCTCTGTGGGGTAAGAACAAGCAATTGAAAGCCAAGTTCAGGGACAATGAAAGCTCAGCTCAGGAAAATTCCAGGCTTTTCTAAGGCACACAGCGCCATCTGCTGAGGAGTGCACAGTTGGTGGAGGTTTCCTAAGTTGTGGCTGGGGTGCCTTCTCAAGGGGCAGGAAAGCCTTGTGATACACAGTCTTCGTGTCCCTTGGCTTCTTGTAGCTCCCCAGGAAGGAACAGCCGTGTACACCCTGCACTGGAATGTTCTCTGAGGGTGGTTCGTGTGAATGGAATGTGGGGCTGGTGCCATTCTATTTGGTTCTGTTTCCCTCTAGTGGCTGATGAACAGAGATTTCATCTTCTAAGTACAAGGTCACATGGCCTCGACAGAACTGGGTGGGGTAGCTCAGATCCATCTGATTTCTCTCCTTGTTAACTAATACAGTCAAAGAGTCCAAAGTTCCATCCAGGACCCCTGGGCTCCTCAAAGACAAACACATTATTTCATTGACCCCGAAATTAAACACCGTTGAGTATTGAAACACGATGTTTAATAAAAATAATAATATTCTTGAGTCTTGCTGTATGCTGGCAATGTCCTAAGTGCTTCACAGGTTAACTCAGTTAATCCTCACCACAATCCCCACAAGGGAGGAGTCCTTTTTTCTGACTTTACCCAAAAAAAAGTCCAACATTGCTATTGAGCATTTTATGTTTTGGATCCAAAGATGATATGATTGATGGTAATTCCCATATTTGCCTTTAACCAATTAATCCACAAATACATATTGAAGGCCTGGGTTTCTTATCCATCACTAAGATCTTCCCTGTGCTTTGTAATGGAGACTCAGGTGAAGCATGACCCATGCACTGTACACCTTTTATTGAGCCCCCACAATGTTGTGACGACTGCATAGAGGTGGGTCCTTTGGCTATAGGTGAATATTCTGTAGTTGGGAATCAGAAGACCCATCAGCACCTGCCCCCCTAGGAGCACTAGGAATGAAGTACAGGCAGGCAAGGAAGACAGATGTGGTCCTGGCATCAGGACCTGGACCTACACACTGGTGGAAAGTCCTGTAGATACCCATAGGTAGCAATGATTTGGGTTCAATTGGAAGTCAGGGGCAGGAATCACTGTGAGGGTCCTCACCCATCCTGGACCCAGGGTGCTCCTAAAGCCCATCTGGTCTGCCACTGACTCTTCCTCCTGGCAGGTCCATCCTGTCAGGCCTATTGCCGCCAACATCAGGGACTGTGCTCATCGGGGGAAAGGACATCGAAACCAGCTTGGATGCCGTCCGGCAGAGTCTCGGCATGTGTCCACAGCACAACATCCTGTTCCACCAGTAAGCAGAGCAAGAATTGAGACCCTCCCTGGCTCTGGGCTCCACCTGCCCCCAACAATGTGTTCCCTAGAACCCAGCTCGGGGCTGCTAGGTCTGGGCAGGATACTTTGGTGTTGGTGTCCCCTGCTGAAGGACCTTTGTCCTGTGGGTAATGCGAAACCCCTGTGCCTTTTGCCACTCAGAGCTGGGTCTCTCCCCCAAGAACAGTGCTGTCTTCTCTCTGATAGGGGCTGATGCTAGAGCCCAGCACCAAGCACCAGATAGATCCTGGGCCTCTTCATTCCTTGCATGGCGGAGGCCTGTGTCCTTCAACATGGCTTGCTCAAACCCAGAGTTCTCCTTCCAGGGAACAAGTGATGAGACCATTAAAAAACAGACTTTTCAGGAGGTTTTCAGTTGCTTTACTCTACAACTTAAGGTTCTTACCTGAAGAAAGGAAACAGGGAAGGAATGAAGGAAATAAAGATTAAAACAAGAAAGTAAAAGACACCTCTAATTCACCACCCAGAGATAATCACTGTTAACAACTTGGTAAATGATGCTTCAGAACTTTCTTGTGGGCGTATATAGATATTTGTGTATGCTTTAAAATGATAAAGGAGGGCAAAACTATACATACAGTTTTGTAACCTACCACTTTTTAAAATGTGGTCACCTTTTTTTAAAAACCTAAGATATCGTGAACATCTTTTCATGTTATTAGATATTCTTCTATAAAACAACTTTTAACATTTACATACTATGCCATTGAATACATATGCTATTTAAGCAGTCCCAGTCCGGGAACTATTTGGCAGGGTATATTTGGGTTTTGTTCTTGTCTGATATCACCACAAGGAAGATCCCTGATGCTAAACCTTTATTCTCATGCCTCACTGTTTCTTTAAGACCAACTGCTAGCTGTGGGGTTGCTAAGTCCATGGCATCCCCCTCACCCTGTCCCCACAGCCTCACCGTGGCTCAACACATCATTTTCTACACGCAGCTGAAAGGCAAGTCCTGGCAGGAGGCGCAGCTAGAGGTGGAAGCCATGTTGAAGGACACAGGCCTCCGCCATGCAAGGAATGAAGAGGCCCAGGATCTATCAGGTGCTTGGTGCTGAAAAAAGATGCAGCTCCAGCTGGCAAACCAGTGTTTCCCTGTGTGGGGGGCAACGTCAGGGAGACTTACAACAGGACAGTCCTGAAGTTATTCTGAGCACCTCAGAGCAGACCTCCCTGGATCAATTCCCACAAGGATGCTGTCTTGCAGCCTGGGCTGTGTTCATGCTGATGTTTTTTGTGTTTGAATTAAAAGGTTCCATCCAAGCAAACATTGTCTTTTCTGCATTTACAACACTGTGCACCAGTAGGTTTTTGGACATTGTAAATATCTTGGGAGACAGCATAAAACCGGCCCCTGGCTTGTCCTCCACAGCCCCTGTAACCTCCCTGCCTCATATCTCCAGGTGGCATGCAGAGGAAGCTGTCTGTTGCCATTGCCTTGGTGGGAGATGCCAAGGTGGTGGTTCTGGATGAGCCTACCTCTGGTGTGGATCCCTATTCGAGACGCTCAATCTGGGACCTGCTCCTGAAGTATCGCCCAGGTAATGGCCTCTGCTTAGTGCCCTGTGTTCTCACTGAGTTATGGCCCCCGCTCTCAAACCTGATGTTTTGCAACTGAGTACGGGAGTAGCCGTGACTACACTCAGATGGGGCTTTATCCATGACTTGGGTGAATCTAAATTCTAAATAGTCTCAGATCTTTATACAAATACAAGGTGGAATCTTTGCTCCCAGAAATATTCTAGAAAGTCCTATCAACCTTTAGCCCTTGTTTCTGAAACAGCAAGTGCAGCTGTGCACTTTGACTAAGTCTTGTTTGACTAAGGAAACCCAGGTCACTTGTAAACATCCCAAGAAGTTCCAGAGTAGCCAGATGACCACTTGGGGCCAGGTGTGAGGGTAACCTGCCTGTATGTTCCATGTGCAGAAGGAAATGTCTCAAAATGGGACATCTGGGGCCTCCTTGGTGGCGCTGAGGTTAAGTTTCAACACTATCAAGCCACTGCAGCAGCATGAGTTCAATCCCCAGCCAGGGAGCTAACCCACATGGCGCAGGAGACCTCTCCTGTCTCGCCCACTATTCTCCTCAGCAGTATATTTTGGTGTATCTGCCTGTTCTGCTTCCTGCTCTGTCTCTGGTGAATGCTCTCGCCCACGACACACGCATCTCTGGCCTACACTCCAGTTCTTATATGCATAAATAAATAAAAATAAAATATTTTTTTAAAAAATGGGACATCCTTCCCCTTTCACGCCACCTTGAACCAGAGAGAGCAGATGCAAAAGAGGCACCAAGCAGAGGAGTTCAGAGTGCCCCCAAAATGAGGGCAGAGTCCAATTCCATGGTTGGTTTGCCATCCTGGCATCCTCATTACTGTTTCCTTTTAATAACATCTTGATTTGTATAAGAATGTGTGTCTGTATGTTTGTGCTTTCAAAGATTATACCTGCAGTGTTTAATAGCCCAGAGAGTACTGATATATATAGAATTCAGTAGATGCTGGCTGATAAGAATAAATGCCCCATGTAGGGTCATATATTGCAATCAGGGCCTCTGCCTGATGAAGAGGTTCTGGATGTTACAGTGCTTTACAGCATGCAGATTGCTGTAAAATATTAGCTATTGACATTATTATTACCGTATTCTGGACTTGCTGCTAAGTGCTTGTTTTTGTTTAATAACTCCCAGTTGTTACACCCATGGAGGGGGAGGTCCTTGTACATCCTCTCCACTCCAGCCTGGCACCGCCTGTGGTGATCCCCTGACCCTCCCTTGGCAGGCAGGACTATCATCATGTCCACCCACCACATGGACGAGGCTGACCTCCTGGGGGACCGCATTGCCATCATTTCCCAGGGCAGGCTCTGCTGCTCAGGCACCCTGCTCTTCCTGAAGAACTGCTTTGGCAGGGGCTTCTACTTAACCTTGGTGCGCAAGATGAAAAACATACAGAGCCAAAGAAGAGACTGCGAGGTATGTGTCAGCCCAGGGCCAGGGCCCATCCTGGGTGGGTGAGCAGGAGCTCGCAGCGTGGAAGGCAGGAAATGCAGACATTTTTCCAGACTGTGCTTTAGCGCCAGCTTTGACCTCCTTGTTTCTGGGATCATTTGAAGATTTTTGACAAACACATATTTCGAACCCTCTTACAAGGATGCTTTACCCCTAATGAAACAACTCATTTTAAATGCCCCGTGGTTAGAGGTTATATTCCAGAACCCTGAACTACACATGGGTGGTGCAACATCGAAGTGAGTCTGATTCTACAAGGCTTCACTGTCAGGAAAGGTAGCAGTTTAAGTTTTCTTTTTTCACTCCAGTTCTGTGTCCCAAATTCCACTGGTAAAGGAAAGCTCAGAGAAGTCTCCTCAGGAACTGTAAGCTGAAAATGATGAAGCCAAAAATTGCCACCAGGAGAGACCACCTCAGTGTGTGAGGAGACCCAGGTTCATCCTGGGCTGCCAGGTGGACAAGTTGTCATCCCAGACAAATTACTTAATTTCTGGTTGCTGGCAGTGTTTTCCACACAGAAAATGAAAATGATTATCTCTGCTTCTGCTTCTGAGAGATGTGGTGAAGATGAATGAGATAAAGGATTAGGAATATGCTCTGGGCCCCTTCAGAATAGGCGCTGCTCATATTCAAGTTGTCACGCTTAACATATTGGAGCATTATTGATGCCTTCAGCCCTGTGGCTTAAGAGTCTGGCTGCTTCTGGGTTTTCCTGCCCTGGGTAGACTTCCACCGCCCAGTGTGCATCCAGGGGCCGGGAGGAGCAGAAAAGACCGCTCTACAGCATTCACATAATGAATGACAAGCCAAAGGGAGACTTTGAGGTTCTGCTTCTTTCTGGGTCTGACTCACACACTCTCCAGGATAAAATCAAACAGTCACACCCTCAAAGTGCTCTGATGAAGTAATAGATTAAAATGGTGATGAAAAGATGTTTTCACCACAGTTCGCAGTGTGAAACAAACAAAGTGTGGTGGTGACGGCGGCTGGCATGGGGAGATGCTGTCACTGACGTGATGGAAGTCCTTCTGTTGTAGGGAACCTGCAACTGTGCATCTAAGGAGTTTTCCATCCGGTGTCCAATCTGCACAGATGCTGTAACTGCAGAGCAAGTCTTGGATGGTAAGGACTCAGACAGGCCATACCTTGGTTCTTGTCTAGCCATCATCTCTATTGTTGGGTGTGTGCTATTATTATGCATTTATTTATTTTTTTAAAAGATTTATTTATTTATACATACAAGAACTGGGGTACAGGCCAGAGTTATCGGGGGGAGTGAGAAGATTCACCAGAGACAAAGTGGGAAACACAACAGGCGGATCTACTGAAATACACTGCTGAGGGGAGCAGCAGGTGAGGCAGGAGAGGTCTGCTGCACCATGTGGGTTGCTCCCTGGCTGGGGAGCAACTTGTGCTGCAGTGGCTGCAGATAGCTTCATTGGTTGCGTCTTAACCCCTTGCACCACCAGGGAGGCCCCTATTGTTAAGCATTTAAATGGGAGTCAAGAGAACACTCTGTGTACTTCCCAAGTCCAAGGTCATGCTACTAAGTGCTCATCCTTTTCTTTGTGTTCTTTTTTTCTCTTCCATCCCCAAAGGGGTTTTAAAAGGCAATATCTAAAAATTCTCAACCGCTAAGGAGGAATCCAGTTTTTGTTCACTCTGCACCTTTGCCCACCCTAAGCCTCCGCTCCTGGGGACCTCCTGCCCAGAAAGAGAGCTTTTAAACATCCCAGGTGGCACCCTCTGATGGAGCCAGGGTGACACAGAGCTCTCATGAAATTTTCCAGAGTCATATTGCATTGTGTGGAAGCCAGGTCTATGGAATATTTGCATATTTGTGTTACACTCCTAACTTTTCCTCAGTTTCCCAATTTTCCAGAAATTCTCTTTTGGATTAGGGTGCATTAAATTTCCTAAGGGGGCCACCACCTCCAGGGAGATGCTGAATAGAGGCTTTCACTATCAGAGCCCATGCCCTCAGGTCTGACCTCAGGAAATGCTTCCCATCAATCCTTTCCAAGCCCCAACCCTATGACTTTGCAAATGGAAGACCACATATCCCAGAGCTCTCAATGGAAAGCACAACTAAATCTATACTGACTCATGTTGATGAGGGAGAAAGTATCTGCTTATCAAAAAGAAAACAAAGTTTCCTATTAAGCACACAGTTTTTATTTATTTTTTTTTTAAAGATTTATTTATTTATTTATGCAAGCACTGGGTACAGTCAGAAGCGCGGGAGGGTGAGAGAATTCACCAGAGCCAGAGCAGGGAGCAGAGCAGGCAGAAGGACCAAAGTACACTGCTGAGGGGAGCAGCAGGCGGCAGGAGAGGTTTGCGCACCATGTGGGACCCTCCTCCTGTGGCGGGGGAGCAGCCGGGGATCCAACTGGTGCTGCAGAGGCTGCGGGCAGCTTCCAGCCCAGCGCTCAACCACTGAAGCACACAGTTTTTAAATGTGAAGAATTTGCTAAAATCTGAGGAAACGAGAGTCAGTCAATGTTTATGTCCTATGCTTAAATTTTGAGGAAGAGTGCCCAGAGTTTCATCATACTTTCTCTCTCATCTTCTTTGTACTGATAGAAACCGAAAGACAAAACGTATCTTTTTTTTTTTTTAAGACTTATTTATTTATGCATACAAGATCTGGGGTGTAGGCCAGAGATGTGGGGGTGAGAGGATTCACCAGAGACAGAGTGGAGACCAGAACAGGCGGATCGACTGAAATGAACTGCTGAGGGGAGCTGCGGGCAAGGCAAGAGAGGTCTCCTGTGTCATGTGGGTCACCTCCCTGGCCGGGAATTGAACTTGTGCTGCAGTGGCTGCAGCTAGCTTCATAGTGCTGCATCTTAACCCCTTGCACCACCAGGGAGGCCCCAGAACACATCTTTGTAAGATGTTTCTGGGTCTTTTTCCCTAGCCTGTCGTCCTGTGGCAAAGCTCTCTGCTTTCTTAGTTTCCTCCCAGGAGGCATTTCGGGCAAATCATTTTGATTACCACCATGCACCCAAAACTAGTTGGAAACAGGCTGGAGTGGTTCTTTGAAAGGTTACTTTATTTCTAAATATTTTCTCTGAGTAGAATGAGGATGCTGTGAAAGGCGAGAAGTGCAATTAGTAGTTATGTTTAAATAAGAGAAGGAAGGTCATGCTAATCCCCATTTTGTTCCCTGGAAGACGTTTTACCCACACATACCCACATACCACAAACACTCCTAGACCTCCCTGCCAGATGCTGACAGTCCCCTGCATCGTAGACTACCTCAGGAAAGGCTGACACACACATCTAAGACACAATTCCTGGGAATCCAGCAGCTTCAGGCTTGATTTCCTTCCTAAGAGAACAATGAACATGACCCCTAGAGAGCCCTTAGGGCAGAGCTGCTTCCTAGCCCAGGGGCCCTCCAGCCTCTGTATGAAGTCATTCCTGAACTAGAGACAATTGGGCCTGATTTTCAGGTTTAACATAAAACAAGCCTGTCAGCCCAGCTAAGCAGAAGAATTTTGGGTTGAAAGTCATGAAATCCCTCCATCTGGGTAAATTTTTGTTTAAATACTTTTTTCTTGAAGTCACATTGGTTTAGAACCTATAGGTTTCAGCATCAATAGACCCTATATTTTGATCCCCATCAAAAGCCCAGTTTCCATCTACCACCATGCAATTGATTCTCTTTACTGGATTTGCCCAGCCCCCAGCCCCCTACTCCCCTGGTGACCCGGTTTTATTCTCATAATCTAAGAACTTATTCTTGTTTTGTTATCTTTCCTCATTTTTTTTAAGTTTCAGATATATAGTGATGTGTTTTGATATCTGTATATAGTATATCACTATTACCACCAGTCGTTTAGTCTCCATCCTTCACCATACAATTTGTCTCCTTTATGCATTTTATGTGCCTCCCCACGATGCTTTTCCCCTCTGATAGCCAACATTTTGTTATCAGAATCTGAGGTTTGTTTTTTTGTTTTGTTTTGCTCATTCCTTTGCTTTGGTTCTTTATACTGTAAGTCTTTGCTTTGGTTACTGTGATATTCAAATATAACTTTCTGTGATGTTCTGCTTTAGGTTGATAACTACTTACATTTGAACACATTCCAAAACTTTACATTTTTGCTCCTCCCCCAACATTTTATATTTTTGATGTTTCATTTTACATCTTTATCTTATATGTACCCTTTAACTAATTCTTGCAACTTTAGATAAATATTACTATTTTTACATTTTAATTTTTACATTTCCTTTATACATGATTACTCTGCTATTTCTGCTATACTGATAGAGCTTTTCTGGTGAGATTTGTTCTTAAGTATGTTCTTGATGTTAGTTATTTCTTTTCCATTTAACATTTTTTGCAGCCAAATCTGTAGCGTGTCTGTTCAGTGATAATGAGTTCCTGTAGCTTTTGTTACCTGGGAAACTTTTAATCTTTCCTTCAATATTAAATGTTAACTTTGCTGGGCTGGAATTTTTTTTTTTTCTTTCCCACATTGAACATATCTTGCCATTCTCTTCTGGTCTATAAAGTTTCTATTGAAAAGCCTGCTGATAGCCTTCTGGGTTTTCCCTTATATGTGACAAAAATCTTTCAGTTTTTAAATTCTGCCTTTATCTGTTGCCATTTTAATTAGGCTGTGCTTGGTGTGGATCCTTTCGGATTCCTCTTATTGTAACTCCTTTACCTGAGTGTCTGTTTCCTTCCCCAGATCAAGTTTTGGTCATTTTTTTCCCACAAATATTCTTTTCTGGCCTTTTCTCTCTTCTTCTGACCCCTATAATAAAAATATTCTTCTTTACGTTGTCCCACATGTCTCTTGAGGTGTCTATACTTTTGTAATCTTTTTTTAATTGTTCTTCCCTATCTGCAAGGGTTCTATTGTGTTGTCTTCCAGCTCACTTATCCACTCCTCAGCTTTGTTCAGTTTGCTGTTGGACCCCTCCACTGTACCTTTCTATTAGTGTATTCTATAGCTCTAAACGTCTATTTCAATCTTTTCAAAAGAAAAGTTCTTCTAGTTCTTATGTTCTCCTTCCAAGTTTGGTGAGTATTTTTATAACCATTACCTTTTTTTTTTTTTAAGATTTATTTATTTTTGCATACATGAACTGGAGTGTAAGCCAGAGGTGCGGGGGTGAGAGGATTCACCAGAGACAGAGTGGGGAGCAGAACAGGCAGAGTTACTGAAATACACTGCTAAGGGAAGCAGCAGGCAAGGCAGGAGAGGTCTGCTGCACCATGTGGGTTGCTCCCTGGCTGGCTGGGAATTGAACTCATGCTGCAGTGACTGGCAATAGTTTGATAGTGCTATCTTTAACACCTGCACCACCAGGGAGGCCCCTATTACCATTACTTATTTATCTCTACTTCTTTAAGGTCTTTTTCTGGATTATTGTCTTCCTCTTGCATTTGAGACCTGCCCCCATTCTGCCTGATTCTCTGTGTTTGCCTCTATGTATTAGGCAATCCTATTACCTCTCCTGGTCTTGAAGGATTGGTTTTAGGTGAGTGATTGTCTCCATTGTTTTAGGTAAAGGGAGTTCATCATCATAGTCCCCTCTGACCACTGAGCTAGATGCTCAAGGTGTGTTCCTTGTGGGTGCTGCACCTGCTGTGTCATAGTGGGACAATCTAGGAGGCCATCGACCTGGTTTGACTATATGATAACAGTTGTGCTCAGCTGAGGCATATAACTGTGGTGCAACAAGCAGCTGGTGTTGTGGGCTGGCCCAACCTCAGCCTGCTGCTGCTGCTTCTTGGCAGGCAAATGTAACAGGAGGCCCACACTGGCTGCACATTGCATATGGCAGCTGGACCAGCCCATTGTGGCTGGTGGCCCAGCACAGTGTAGTAATGCACTTCTCAGGTGTAGAGCTCTCACCCCGATGGGTCATTTTTATTTTATTGTTTTTAATATTATTCTCCTTTGTACCCCTTTGACCCTTTCTCCCTCAGAATCCTCACTTCATTTAATAGTGTCCTTTAGTTTTTGTGTTTTACTTTTTAAAATCATCTGCTCTGTAAATGTCCAATATTTTTATCATTCTGACCTGCTTTGCAACACATAATCCCCTCATATTTCTTCCATTTTGCTATAGATGGTGAGAATTCATCTTTCCTATGGTTGAATAAATATTACATTGTGTGGCTATGCCTCATTTTCTGATCCAATCCTGTATCAGTGGGCACTTTAGATTGTTTCTTTGTTCTTACTATTGTAAATAATGCTGCAATAAATATCACAGGGCATATAATTTTTTGAGTTAATGGTTTCATAGACTTTGTTTTGAAATCCATTCAGTTCCTCAATACCTTTTAATTGGTCAACTAATGATATTTATATTTAAGGTTAAGAGACTATTGCCCATTAATTTTTTTAAATTTTTTTGCTTGTCTTTGTCTTTTTATATTTGACATCTTCCTTTTTTGTTTTGTTTGGGTTCCATTTCCATTGTCATTATGTGTTATTTCTATTCATCTTTGTTTGAAGGTTCTGCTGAAGTTAGTGTGTGACGAACTATTTTTGTGGCCTGTTAGTCCAGTCTTATACTCATTCTGATGGGCTCCTCCTCTTTCACGTTGTATAATTTAGTATCTATTACCTCTGTATATGATTTTTTGTTGCTTTATGTATATGTTTTTTGTTGCTTTATAGTAGTCCCTTTAGTACTTTTTTCATATCCAGCTTGGTGTTTAATTTTTGCTTTTCAGCAAAATTCCTTATCCTCCCTTCTGTCTTAAATGATAATTTTTCAGGCTAAAACATTCTAGGCTAGAAATCCTTTTTTTTTCTAAGTATTTTAAGTATCTGCTGCCATTCCATTCTTGCATGTAAAATTTCTAATGAAAATTCTGTGAACATATAGGTCAAATATGTGTTCCCTATGGGTTACTCTTCTTTTCTCAATACTTTTAATTGTCTATGTCTTTCATTTTTTCTACCCCTTCTGGAACCCCCATGATGCAGATATTATTTCTCTTTAAGTTATCCTGAATAACTCTTATGCTGTTTCCTTTTGTTATTATTCTTTTTTTCTCTTTGTTCTATTTGTGTCTACTCGGCATTGTGCTTTTCAGGTTGCTGATTTTCTCTATTGTATTTGTCTACTGCTGAGGCACTCTTTTATATTTTAAATTCAATTGTAGGATTTTTAGGTCCATTATTTCTAGTCGGAACAGTCCCATATTTTCTCAATGTTATTGTGGTCTTGGTTTTGAGCATATACTGTTTTTCTTAATTTGGCAAGATGGTTATAAGTGTTATCTTCAAATCCTCCTCAGGCATATGCCACAGTTCTCCTGGATTGAGATTTTCTCAATGATTTTTTGTTCCAACATTTGTGATATGTTCTTCTATCTCTTCATTTTTAGAATTATGGGTTCAAACAGAGAATTTTCTTAAATAATTGACTTTATATCCATCCTACAGGAAGTTGGGTAGAACCCTAGGATTTTTACCCAGAATTCTTAGGTGTCTATTATTTCATAGGCCAATGCCTTTGCACATGGTTGGGGAACTGGTGCAGGTAGGGGGCAATAGGTAGGAGGGAACCAGGATAGTAGGTAACTGAAAGGTCGCGTTTAGTGTGCCTCAAGGGTTCAAACTTCCTACAATGCTGCAGGTACCCAAATTGTGTGTTGCGGATCCATAGTGATCCCTTCTAGTAAGTCAACTCTTCGGTCAAAATGTCTTGTATGGTCTTGTCCCAGGCTCAACCTCTAGTTTTTGGTTGAGCAATAGATGTAGTGCTGGGTGGGGACTATATTTGAGACAAGGCTACAAGCCAGGTGTTGTTCTCTTTGCATTTTGAGTATGGAATATTACCCTGGGGCTCTTGTGTGTGTTGCTCAGACCCAGGTGCTCCAAACTCTGCTCAGTGAGAGAGTTCGGTTGTTTTCATCCTTGTTGGGGGCAACGCAGGTGTTTCACCTATCATAGCCTCAGGCTACAAATAATAACCTCCTCTAAAATAAGGCAAAGGTTAGTCTAATCTGCCTCCCCCTCCCAGTTCAAGCTCCCACTGTTTTAATTTATGAGTATCAGGTTCATCCCAGTAATCACCACTCTGTACACTGATTCCTGTAGTTTTCCAGTAGTTCACTCTCTCTTCTGTACACTGACTGTGCAACCCCTTCTCCAGTGCAATACCTAGTTTTTAAAGTCCTCAGTATATGGGTATGCCCTTGAGCTAGCAAGAGCAGAGCGACTCCATATAGCAGCTACCCCTCCTTTTCATGAGTTCTATGGCCCATATTGCTCTAAACAAAGTTTAATTACAGTTTTTCCTACCCCTTTTCACTGTGTCATTGCTCCTGATATATATAGTAATAGTCAACTGTTTATCTTTCCAGAGTTGTTGTCTTTGTTTTGTTATAATTTGTTTGTGAATATGTGGAGAAAGTAAGCCCGGTGTCTTCACTCTGCCACCATCTTGCTGGACCTCTTTATGGATCATTTTTAAAAACAAAGAAAGAAAAGAACCCACTGGGTGATTCTTACTCTTGAGAGGACTGATTGAAGAAATGGGTTCTGAGTCCCAGGAATGCTTTCATCTCTGACCACCTTTCAAGATGACATGCTAGGGAACCGTGTCTTCAAATGCATGTTTTCAACTTTTTTAAATTAGAGTGTTAACTGGACACTTCCCCACACCCATACTATGCACATGCGCTCCATCCCTGGGTCCACCTCCACAGCTTCTCAACCCCCTTTAGCCTTTCCTGAAGTTTTGCTTTGTTTGAGGAGGAAGGTGCAATCCCAACAGAAATGGTGTCATGCTCCATAAAGTCAGAGCAGATATGGGTGTGTGATTTAGGAGGAGGTGTTCTCACCCCACTTAGTCATCAGTTCCAGGTATGCAACTTGAGCAAATCCACTACATCTTGGACCAGACCAGGAAAATGAAAACAAATTTGAATTAATTCATAGGCTATGGTGAATAAGAATGAGTAATAAAGATGACAAGCACTTTTTCACTTGAGGTGATGTTCACGATAACAATGGGAGCTATCACTCATCAGTATACCAGGAACATTTGTCTAAATGTTTTATGTACTTTTACTCATCCAGTTCTCTCAACTAAATGACAGAGTGGGTGCCATTATTTTCCACTTTCACAGATAAAGAAATTAGGGTGTGACCTGCTCAATGTTGCATAACTTGAATAGGAGAGGATATTTGATAGAACAGAGGAGAAAGCTGGCACAGGGCATCACATAACCTCCCTAGTTGCCCAGCTGGTTAGTGAGGAATGCTTTTGTTTCCATCACATCTCCCATTCAGTGCCCATCCCAGGGCCAACTAGGATAAAATAGCCATGATGGAGTCTTAGCCACAGAAAGAGTCACTACTGAGGGACAAAAGGTCCCTTCCTCAAACGTAAAGTGAAAGAAAATAAGGAGCCCAGGCAAACTCACAATCTTCCAGATCCTAGAAAATAGAGTTGACATTGGTGTTTGTTTATTTTTTGTCCTAGGGGATGTGAATGAGCTGATGGATATAGTTCGCCATCATGTTCCAGAGGCAAAACTGGTGGAATGCATTGGTCAAGAACTTATCTTCCTTCTTCCAAATAAGAATTTCAAGCAGAGAGCATATGCTAGCCTTTTCAGAGAGCTGGAAGAGACACTGACTGACCTCGGGCTCAGCAGTTTTGGAATTTCTGACACTCCCTTGGAAGAGGTAAGGCAGTGTTTCTAGCTGGTTTCTGCCAGTTGCCCAAAGAGGTGGTTCTTTGCAAAAATCTAACACTGGAGGAAATTTTATAAGAGCAGAAATCCTTAATTCTCTACCCAGACACAGCAACTATCTTCATTTATGGCTATTTCCTCCTGCCTATGGCCATATGCACACATATTCTATGTAGTTGTGGTCACTACGTGCACACATTTATAGTTATAGAAGATTGTGTTTTTTGATAAAGAATCATAATGTATTTTCTTCCCATTATGAACAATACCCACAAAATTGAGCTTAGTTTAATTTTTCTGAGAGTGGGAATGCCTACCAAATCCTCTCTTTTTTCTTTCTTAACAAATTTTTCTGAAGGTCACAGAGGATTCTGATTTGGGACCTCTATTTGCTGGTATTTGCTGTGTAGCTGTTTCCTCAGCTGTGTAGCTGTTCCCCCAAGCTCTATCTTAAAAGCCTAAGGAAAAACTCATGAAACACAAAGCAAGCAAATACTTCTCCATAGTATTTATCTGACCCCCAAATAACAGGCATTTTGCATTCTTTGTTCCTTTGAAGGACAACAGAATGGCAAAAGGAATGAGGTCTGGGCAGGAATACTCTGGTTGAATGGGGGTTCTTGAGGAGGTCAGGCTGGTAGCTTCTCTGTCCCTCAGCTTCTCATCCCACCTTCCAGGCTCTTGTTCCTGCCACATCACCATCCACATGTCTTCCTCTAATCTCCACCAATCTCTGATTCCACTCCTGTCTGCGTGGGTGACAATAGGCAGAGTCCTTAGAGATAAGGTGACAGCAAATACAACCCAGATGCCAGCTAGGAAGCGCTGGTCCCTTTGAGATCAAGATAAAAGAGTTCTGAATTCTCATCTACCCTATGGTACTGAAATCATTGGGGATTATAATTCTATGGATTCTCTCTTGGAGTCTCACTTCTATATGAGTCAGCACAGGCACCATCTGGCCCCATCCATGAGTCCTACCAAATCTCAAGGTCAGAGAAATCATTTACGAGTACAGTAGGCTTTGTAGTGCAGGGTGGGAGGTAGGGAATTGACTATAACACAAGCTACTTCAGATAAAACAATAAGCATCACCTTATTAGGTAAAATCTTTTCACTGATTAAAATACCCACTGTTAAAATCCTCTCCCTAGTTCCTTTTTCCATGCTGCTTTCCTCTCTCTTGGTCTTGGGCAAAGCTGTAGGACAATTACCCTTTGCTGCCTTGGGTTCCTGCCACTGGTTACCTCCTCTACTCAGTGTGGTATATCAGATGTTTTTCTGTCCATCAAGAATTTTGTGCCTGTGGTTTTCTGTTGCCAACTTGTAAGATAATATCTTACTCTCTATAAGTGATCCCAGAAGTTTAGTTATCAGACAAGCTTAGAACTACTGATGGCCAAACATACCAACTTAAGCATGCCCATGACCTAGAAGAGGTGGCCATCCTGGCAGAGTGGGGAGCTGGGGGCAGTCCTCACAAGAGGGTGGGAGCAGCTCACCACAAGGTCCATGTTTTCTGTCTAGTTTGACAGATTCAGAAATTGAATTCTCCATTTACCCAAAGGCAAAGATTTACCCAAATACCAAAATGAAAAGATGCAAATTTATATCAGAAGCTATGCTGGATTCAAGAGTTAGTGTCCTTTATCTTCACAAAATACTCCTTCTTAATAATTAGGTCCTCTCAGGAGAATAAAACACACATTAGTTTTGGCATAAAATAGGATGTTCCAAAGAGACAGTGAAGGGTAGAGATTAAGAATGAACCTCTAGGGGGCCTCCCTTGTAGTGCAAGGGGTTAAGTCCCAGCACTACGAAGCTATCTGCAGCACGAGTTCGATCCTTAGCCAGGGAGCCACATGGCACAGCAGACCTCATCTGTCTCACCTGCTGCTCCCCTCAACAGTGTATTTCAGTAGACCTGCCTGTTCTGCTCCCCACTCTGTCTTTGGTGAATCCTCACCCCCATACCTCTACCCTACACCCCTGCTCTGTATGCATAAATACATAAAATAAATCTTTAACAAAAAAAAAGAGCCTCTAGAATGAGGCCAACTACACAGCAAATCTATGCTCTATAACTTGCTAAATGAGTCACTTTGGATAAATAGTTAGTCTTGGTTAACCTCATTTCCTCATCTGCAAGATGGGGAGAATAATAATATCCACATTTTAGGGTTGTTGAGAAAATTACATCCATTCATACATGCCAAGCCATAACACAGTGTGTGATAGCCAACTAAGACTTAACAACTAATCTCCACGTTCACAAAATATCTCTTAACTCAAACTTGTCCTTTATACTTTGCAAAGGATTTCCATCCATTGTCTTATTTGATAGTCACTATAATCTTATGAAGCAAATAGGGCAGGATCAGTCCTGTCTAGGGGAAACTGAGTTACATGGTCAGGTGACTTGTCTAAAGTCACACCAGCTTCTGAGGCCTGAACTTTTAAATCTGACCCCACTGATTCCACATTCAAATGAAGGCCACTTTTCAGATGGTCAAATGCACTTATTTTGAATTGACTCCAGGTTAAGGGTTAGGAAAGCAGCTAGGACTAGCCAGCTATCCCCTAAGTGCTCCCTTTACATCCCACCATAGTTGTTTCGCAAATGAGCAACTAGTCAGTGAAGTAAACTAGATTTTTAACTGCTGATTTGCAGTGGTTTATAGTGCAAATTCACATGAGTCAGCTCATAACAATTCTGTGAATTGTTCTTATTTTCATTTTACAGATTAGAAGCCTCAGATTTTGACAAGTTGAATCCCTTAACCAAGTTGATGCATCTTGTAAGAAACAGGATTCAAACCTAGTTTCTTAATGCCTGGATTGTAATCTTTCCCCACTTGTCAGTAGCTGTAAGAATTTAGAAAGAACCAAGTCAACTTTGACTTCTAATTTTTTTGAGTTCATAGGTCATGCATGAATATATTTTGATGTTTAAAATTTCAGAAAAAAGGCTAAAATCACATTCTACTTCAACCCCATCCCTGTTCCAGCTCTGCCCCATGGTGATATTCTCAATTGACATTGGGAGGAAAGGGGTGTTTTCTCAGAGCTTTGTGGTTACATGTATATATAAAATATCATTTTTCTTTTTATATGATCTATGCACTCAAATATAAATATGATTTTACTATACATATTCTGCAACTTCATTTTTTTTTAACCTGTACAATTTAGTCCTCTGTCAATGCATTTAGATCTATACTATTCCCTTAAACTATCAACATTATGGGCACTTTTTAAGTAACTTCAAGTGATTTTTGTCTATAGAGCATCTATACTGAAAAATATAATATTTTTAAGTATATTACCCTACCTGCCCTGATATTTTGCTGCTGGTTTAAATGAAGGAAAAACCAATGCTATAAGAAAGCCATGGCATAAGAGATTGAGACCTTGTGTATTTCTAAATTATGAATTCAATCCCCAAACCAGGCCACACTGAGCAGAAAAAAGAAAACGTCAGCTTCCAACATCATGGTTTGGGTTCCTTGGAGAAGTCCAAACAGACAACCCAGAGCTCCAACAACCGGTCGTGGAGCCAGCTCCTGCCCCTGAGGGCCGGCCCTCCCCATATCCACAGGAGTGGCTCCGACGCAACACAGGGGCCCGGCTGGTCCTCCAGCATATGCAAGCGCTGCTGGTCAAGCGCCTCCATCACTCCATCCGCAGCCACAAGGACTTCCTGGCTCAGGTGGGCAGTGCCCGGGCCAGGCTCTTAGTCTGTGCAATCTTGCTCCCCCACCGGGGTTGGCATGCCCACTCCTGCCGGACCCACCTCCCCCTGTTTTGTCCCACTGGTAGGTTCAAACATGGTCACGAGCTCCCTCTTGAGGTCCTGCCTGTTCCGTTTCCTCCTTGCCAATCTTTATTTTGACTCTTGGTAACACAAAGCTTCTTTGTAAGTTCAGCCTCACCAGAGAAAATGGAATAATAGTGACCGTGTTAATACTGTCTGTATTTTTACGGGGAAGGTAAAAGTCATGTTTTCATTCATTTTTGAGGTGAACCTACACAGGAAGGTGCTGTCCTCTTTTTCCTTTTTATGTTTTTTTATTCAGTTGATGAAACTCTGGTTCACCTCTGACTGAACTTTGTCCTACTTCAGTGTTCAACATTGTTCACTGTTGGCCTAATTCAGCCATTCTTCACTATTTTTTCTGGCACATCTTGCCTTTGTGCATGCTGCCTAGAATGTTCCCCAGAAGCCTGATCTTCTCCACCAGGGCATGTTTATGAGACTGTAGGAGAAACGTTTAAAAGAATTTGTGTATGTTATGTGTGTGGGGGTGGGTGCGTGGGTGGGGTGTTAACGACTGTATACCATGGCCCATGTTTATTTTTCTACAGATTATGCTCCCAGCCACTTTTGTGTGTTTGGCTCTGACCCTTTCCATCATCATCCAATCCTTTTGGTGAATATCCTGCGCTGACCCTCCACCCCTGGATGTATGGGCAGCAGTATACCTTCTTCAGGTGCGGAGACATCTCCCCAGAGCTCCTCATTCACTGCCGTGGCTTGTGGGGTTCCTGGGTTGCATGCTGCTGGGTGGAGCCTGCCCTTTCCACTACCCAGGACAGACACCAGCATGGTAGGGGTCGTCGGGCTGCCTCAGAGAGGAAGTTAATATAGCTGCAGCTGCCCAGAAAGGTGACATCATGTGGACAACAGAGATTATCAGGAATGAGGAAAGAGAAAGTAACTTGAGTGAGTGAGAAAGCACCTTTTTGAGGTGCAGATGTGATGTGCCGGGAGATCACTGGTGTGGCTGGAGAGCCTGCCCCCTTGCAGGGGACCCAGAGCCAACCTATCTACAAGAGGTGCCTCGTGTATGTGCCTGGCATATAGCAGCCAATCAGTAAATGCTTCTTGAGTTGTGCGTAGGTTGCTTTTGTCCCTCTGTCCCAGCCCCATGTCCATCCAGTAAGCCCCTCTCACTCTGTCTAGCATGGACCAGCCGGGCAGTGGGCAGCTGACAGCACTTGCAGATGTCCTCCTCAATAAGCCAGGCTTCGGCAACCGCTGCATGAAGGAAGATTGGCTTCCGTAAGTCCCTGCACACCCTGCGCCCACCTCAGCAGCTGCCCTGGAGACATGGTGGTGGGGTCCCGGGATAGCAGGGTTGGGAGGTGCCCCATCCCAGTCCCATCCTGCATCATACAGATACTCCCTATCTTCTACCAGCATTCACTCAGCCTCTCCAAGGCTGGTGTGCAAGCATGTTCACTGCCTCTTGGGCAGCCTCTGCATCACTGGGCACTCTATATTTTCCATAATTCTCAGTATCGAAAGTTTCATAGTGACTTGATACCTGCTTCCCACAACTTATTGGAAAAGAGTTTGAACAGAGAAAGGAGAGAGATGTGCACGTGCTGTTATATAATTGGACCTAGAATGGCATTGATGCAAGCATGGCTTTAATTCTGCACCTAGTTATGATAAGTGGTGGTGGGGAAGGGATTTTTTTCCCACACCACCAGGGAATTCTAGGCTGCCAGTTGGCTATTCCAATTCAATCAATTCTGACATTTTCTACCTGGAGAAAAGGTCTCAGTCCTTCAAAACACTTCCACTCCCCATCCCCACCTTCAGGTTGTCACTTGTTTATGCTTCTGGCCAACTGGATAGATGATGGATGGAGATTCCTAAAACTCAGTCCTTGGGTTCAATTATTTGTTAGAGCTGCTCCTAAAATTCAGACATTTTCCTTGCTATGTCACTAGTTTATTATAAAAGAATATAAGTTAGGAACAGCCATATTGGAGAGATGCAAGATATGGGAAGAGTATGGTCTTCCTTGCCTCTCTGAGAGCACCATGGTCTCCACATTAACCAGGAAACTCTCCCAGCCCTGTTCTCTTGGGTTTTTATGGAGTCTTCATTACATAGGCATGATTGTTCTAACTTAACTAAGTGAGCCAATTACTTATTCTAAATTAATCCTAACTGAAATCATTAGCCATTGCGATGGATTCATTCTTCAAACCTCTCCCCTCCACAGAAGTGGGAGTGAAAGTCCCAACCTTTAGTCACATACTTCATCCCACTGTCAACCAGTCCCCATCCTTAGGTGTTTACCAAAAGTCACCACATTAACATAACAAAAGACCCCTTTGTGACTCTCATCATAGGAAATTCCAAGGGTCTTAGGAACTCTGTGTCACAAGTGGCTAAAGTCCAAATATGTATTTCTCATTACAAGTCACATTATTCCAATGGCCAACTCAATTATTGCTGTAAGTATAAAGAAAGGAGCTATAAAGGCCCTTTGAAATCCACTAAGAATCCCAAAAGTTCAATATAATTTTAACTTCTTCTCTGATTCAGTCTTTTTCAGAGCTACTGATTAGGGCCCAAATGGGCTAATTTCAAATTCCTCTTTCATATCTTCTCTCAACATCTAGAGCCACCAGAAGGAAAAAGGGAGATAAAACCATCCACAAACTAGATAATTTTTCCCCAGCCCCACTTAGTCAACCAGTAGAATCCTAGAATTGATTTTTTTGAGTAGAAACTAAAGCGCTGGGGAGGAAACTAAAGCTAGAAGAGGAAAATGCAAGGGTCTTATGAGGAAGGAAAAGCTAAAAAGTAAAGCGCTGGGCACTAGTTCTCATCTCCATAGGTTTTATTAACTTTGGGAGTGATGGTGAAATATTTTCTTGTCTTCCATGAGGGAGTACCCCTGTGGCAACTCAACCCCCTGGAAAATACCCTCTGTGTCCCCCCACATCACCCACCTGTTCCAGAAGCAAAAGTGGACATCAGACAACCCATCACCTTCCTGCTGGTGCAGCACCAGAGAGAGACTCACCATGCTCCCCGAGTGCCCTGAGGGGGCAGGAGGACCCTCACCCCCTGAGGTACTCAGCCCTCCAGGGGAAACCATTGTGTACTGGGGAAAATTAGTTGGGTCTCATAAGTTTCTAGCCAGCTAACATTTGAATCTGACACTTCAAAGAGGGACTAAATGCTGACCCCTGTCCTCTCAGAGGAGCCTCCCAGGGGCCTAGTGGTTGCCATGCAGAGGAGGTCATTGACCAAAATTTCCTTGTCAACTAACACTCCCTATTTAATCTAGTAAGAAAATATTATTAAATGTGGAAAAATTAGATACATCATTCATGCTCATCACTGAAAAATTTAAAATCCACAATTCAGAAGAAAAAATTATCCTATCACTTGGAGGTAACCACCAACAACATTTGGGTTTTATCTATGCGAACAGGATTGTATTCAAAACATTGTCTTGAAGCCTGCTATTTTCACTTCATAGCATTTCATAAGACTTTGTCCATGTCAATAAATACGCATCTACATCAACATTTTTCATGCCTGCCTGCTTACTGACCCTCTCTTTGGATTTACTTTAATTTACTTAACTAATCTCTCATTGTTGGATATGTCAGTCTTCAAGTTTTCTCCATTATAAGCAATGTTGCAATGTCCATTCAAATGCATGTGTACTTACGTATTTATTAGCAGGCTTACAAAGAAGCTAACATGCACACACGTGCGCAAGCACACACAGGCACACACTGGATAAGCCAGCAACTTATCTTTTGCAGGAACGTCAACAAACTTAGCTCTGAGTCACATCCGCTCTTGGGAGTTCTGAACTCAGAATGTATCACACTGAGCCTCTCCTGGTTTCAGAGACAGTGAAAGCAGCAAGAGAAGTCTCATTTTGTCTTAGGATGACAAAGGGCCTCCCAGCTGACTTGCACAGACCTAGGCCTGATATGGGCCTCTAGAAAGATCTGCCAATGAATGAATGGTTCCCAGAGAAACAGTGTGGTATGGGGGTTGAAGGGAAGCCATGGTATGTTCCTTGGCCTCTGAGTCTTTATTCCCTCACTTATAAGCTGGGGAAAACTATACTGACCTTGTAGCATCATATGGCCATTCAGTGAAATCATGTGGTTAGAAACTTATACTATTTAGAATTAGATTCAACTCAAGTGATGACAAACAGTGAGCAACAGTTTTGATGTTAGTGATGACTAACAGTTTTGCTAATAGTGAGCAAAATAGGACACAAATTTTTCTCTCTCATGTATAAGTTTATGTCAGTGGTCCATGATGATCTGCTTTGTTGTCCTCCAATTTAAACAGGCTCAAATGAACCTCATTGGTCAAGATGGCACAATATACTTTCCAGGCAACATAATGGAAGAAGAGATAAACAGAGAGGGCAAAGTTGTTTATAGCTGCCTATAATTAAAGTAATAACTTTCATAAGAGTAGAAGGATTAAGGGATATAGCCTAGAGAAAACATTTGACACAGTTAATGTTTTAGATGGCACACAGTAAGCATTCCGTGGTGTCTAGTTCTCTTCCTAGGGTAGACAGAGGAACAAGGTGAAGAGAGTGTGTACGATGGGAAAAGGGAGAGGGGAACAAGTAAATAAAAATCAAAGTTGTGTGGTGGGTGATGATTTGAGGACACCAAAAATTCTCTCCGCTACCTCTGGGTGGCACCCTTGATACCCAAGCTTCCTAATAGACCAGAAACCTCTTCAGCGCCGAGTTCCCAAATTTAAGTAATACTGCCACCTGGTGGCCAAGATCATCACTTTTTACTCCTTCAAAGTCTGATTCACTCCCAGTCCTGGATGCATTTTGAAAGTGATTTGTGCATTGTAGGATCCTGTCATTCTGGTCACAAATTTATTGTTTCAGCTGTATGCCAGGCACTTTTCTGGGTGCTGGTGACACATAGGTAACTAGTCAGGAAAGCCCCTGCTCATGGAATTTATGTAACAGAAAAAACAAGTAAACAAAGCTCAAAAAACCCACACACACAGGTAAACAGATCAATAGGGAAAACCTTCAGAAGGAAATGATGTGAAAATAATACACTAGTATGTGATGATAGAGAGTGACTAGAAATAAAAAACACTTTCTGAAGAATAAAACTTGGGCTGACTTGAATAATAAAGAGGAGCCATGTGAGGTTGTTCAGGTAGAGCATCCTAGACAAAGGATCAACCAGGTGCTAAGTTATAATGGGAATGAAAGGTGTTGATTTGAGAAACTGGGAGAATAGGTGGAAAGATAGGGATGAGGGGGCAGAGGCAGCAGGTGAGCTCAGAGAGCCGGGCAGGCCCAGACCATGCGGGCCACATCAGTCTCGGTAATGAATTTATATATGATCCTAGGGTTTACTGGAGTGTGATTAGCCACGTGACTGGGGGGTGGGGGTCTCTGATTTAAATTTTTAACGTTCTGTCTGGCTTCTGGGTGGAGAATGGATTTGAAGAGCTAAGGGTGGAATCAGGGAGACCAATTTGAAGGGAGATTTAGATGGAGGCCTGGGCTAAGGGGTAGTGGTGGAACCAGAGAGATGCAAATGGGTTGGAGATTTATTTGGAGGCAGAGCTATTCTATGTTGTCCATGAATTGGAGAAAAGAGAGGGATCAGAGATGACTCCCATATCTTTGATGCAGGAACTAGGAAGACCCAGAACTCGCTGAAAATTTAGAGTTTTCCCAGCAGTGAAGCCCATATATAATTTCTGGAGAAGAACAAGCAGTTTCAGAAACTGGAGTGCCTCAGATTCCAAAGTAATTAAAATGAATGTCTTATTGTCTCAGAGAATACAGCGCAGCACTGAAGTCCTGCAGGACCTTACCAACAGGAACATCTCTGACTTCTTGGTGAAAACATATCCTGCTCTTATAAGATATAGGTAAGGAGAGACCCTTTCCTACATTTCACCTGGCCCCCTATACACAGTATGAACTAGGAACAGAAGATAATTTCTTGTCATGATTTATCAAGTCAGAGCAATGAACTTTTTTCTTTTTCCTAATTTGAAAACTTCATGCAATAGAAAAAGCATTTAAGGTATATGCAAGTAAAATACAGCTTAAGATATATTTTTTTGCCTTTCATTTAAACCAAGTAGTCATTTTTTGTATTGAAATAACATTGCATTATAATGTAATATAAATTATGTTATATAAATAATATATAACCTAATATAAATTTCAGGTGTGCATCACTGACATTCCACATGGTACATACTTCATTAAGTTCACTGCTAAATATCCAAATCCATCCTTCACCATACCAGTTGCCCCCTTTTATTCAATTTACCAGCCTCCCCAAACTGACTAACTTGTCTTATAGTCCAAAGTTTATTTTTTCTTTAGTTAGCCCACCTGTTTGTTTTCCCTATATACCATATATGAGTGAAAACATATGTTGGTATTTGTCTGACTTATTTCACTAAGTGCCCTCTAGATCCATCCATGTGTTACAAATGCTATTGTTTTTCTTGCCATTGGAAGTCCAGTTCCCAAAAATATCTCTAAGGTTGATATAAAGGAACATATTGTCTATTTTCTTCTATATATCCCATTTTTAAGATCTTACATCCAAGTCTTTAATCCATTTTTTAATTAATTTTTGTATATAGTGTTACATAATAGACTAGTTTCATTGCTTTGCATGTATTGGTCCAGTTTTGCCCCTGAAGAAACTTTCCTTTCCTCATTGTAAGTTCTTGGTTCCTTTGTCATAAATTAGTTGTCCATATGCGTGTGGTTTTATTTCTGGACCCGTAATTCCCTTCCATTCAACTGTGTGTCCATTTTTATTACAATACCAAACTGTTTTAATTATGATTGCTTTGTGGTACATTTTAAAGTTGGGAGCATATGAGATCTCCATTTGTGTTCTTTTTCTTGGGAATATTTTTGCTATCACGGATCTTTCATAGTTCCAAATAAATTTTATAGTTCTTGGTTCTATATCTGTGAAGAATGCAGTTGGGATTTTGATAGGCATTGCATTGAATATATTACTTGAGGTAGTATATTCATTTTATTTTTTATTATTTTTTAAAGATTTATTTATTAACGCATACAAGAGCTGGGGTGCAGGCCAGAGATGCAGGGTGTGAGAAGACTCACCAGAGACAGAGTGAGGAGCGAAACAGGCAGATTGACCAACGCACACTGCTGAGGAGAGCAGTGGGAGAGGCAGGAGAGGTTTGCTGCACCATGTGAGTTTCTCCCTGGCTGGCCGGGGATCGAACTCATGCTGCAGAGACTGCGGATTGCTTCACAGTGTGGCGCCCAGGGAAGTCCCAGTATAGTCATTTTAACAAGCTAATCCTTCTAATCTATTTCACTGATATTTTGGGTTGTCTCTTTGAGCTCTATTTTGTTATTCTCTAATTCTATTATCTTCTTCCATCTACTGACTTTTCATTTTGCTTTTTCTTCTTTTAGTTCCCTTAAGATGCAAACTTAGATTTATTTTTAATTTGCAGTTCTTCTTGTCTTCTGGGATAGAAAGCCAAGCAGCCTTAAAGTCTAACCCATGTACTAGTCACAGTAAAATAAGAAGACATTGAACTGATCCAGCAGTGCAGTCTTATTTTTTAATAGTTATAAAAGAGACAAATTTTAGAGGGAGGAGGGGTAAAGGAGAAAAGGATAGAGGATAATGACAGAAGCAAAAGGTGGAAAGCGAGATGCAAAAGAGGAGAAAGAAAAAAAATTAGATCAAGATAAGATAAAGGCAAAGTGACAGTGTCTAAATGAACCCAACCTGGTTAGCTGGGTTTACTATACAATCACCTTCTGTAAATTATCATCCATATCATCACTACCCTTTCAAATACCAATGAGCTCCTCTATAAGTGCCTACTCTCTCATTCTGCAGATGCTCTTACCAGCCCCAACCTAGGATGGAACAGGCTTCAGCAGCCCACATCAGAGCAAGCACCTTAACAAAAACTTGCTACAGAAAAGGGATCCTAGGGATCCCTGATCCAGACCCCACATGCTCTGGAATTTTCATTAAAAACATACTAATTTTAGCAGTACTTTTAGTTGCTTTCTATTTCAGACCATGAACAAAAGACAAATGGACTCAGTTAACGAGTTAACTGCAGATGGTGAACACATGGCCAAGAGAGCAGTTAGTAAAATGAAGTCCACCTAAGCACAAAAATAAAAGCAAAGTGCATAGAATTTATACAAAAAATGCAATAACAATGCCCTTTATGAACTTTATTCTTAGCAGCAAATTTGTAATATGGAATTTTATGGATTTTGTGCTTGATAGTTGGTGACAATGATACTTCATGGGTCTGAATTATGAAGTCTAGAGTTAGTACCTGCTCCATTGTATGCAATATTGTAAAGTTCATTCAAATGTATGTACTTACGTACTTATTAGCAGTCCTACTAAGAAGCTAACATGCATACACATGCACAGGCACACACTGGATAAGCCAGCAGCTTATCTTTTGCAGGAACCTCCACAAACTTAGCTCTGAGTAACATCCGCTCTTGGGAGTTCTGAACTCTGAGTGTATCACAATGAGCCTCTCCTGAGTTTCAGAGAGAGTGCAAGCAGCAAGAGAAGACTCACTTTGTCTTAGGAGCATAGTGGGCCTAATATGGCCCTGTCTATTGAACAATTCCCAGAACAGTAGGTGGTTATTAGAGCCTCACTTGTGCAGGTGGAAGAGAGCTGCAGTGTTCCCTCCACACTGGCATGGTCATGGCCATATTTTCTAGGTCCAGATGGGACACACTGATCTGACAAACGACCTGACAAACAGGCCACCCAGAATGACCAGCATATGGATGTGACTAAGGGAGCTAGTGGTGGAAAACATCAGTCCTTTCTCTGCGTGTGTATTCAGGCTCTGCCCTGGATGAGGGTGTTCCTCATTGCTTGGCTATCAGGAAATGCAAAATGTCCTTTGAAGACTGAGACACCCCAGTGAATGTTTGGGAAAGAATGTTAACATTACTACTGTATTTGTGGCATTCATTATATGTTTCATTTTGACTTTCAGCCTAAAGAGCAAATTCTGGGTCAATGAACAGAGGTAAGAAGCTATTTCTTTAAGAATTTAAATCTAAAATGGATTCATTTAAAATAATTGTTCATTAGGGCCTCACCGGTGGTGCGCAGCCTCTGCAGTGCTGGTTCAATCCCCGGCCGCCAGGCAAGTGTCCCACATGGCGCGCAGACCTCTCCTGCAGCCCATTGCTCCCTTCAGCAGCATACTTCGTCACTCTGCCTGTTCTACTCTCCACTCTGGCTCTGGTGAATTCTCTCATCCTCTCATACCTCTGACTGTACCTAGTGCTTGCATAAATAAATAAATAAATCTTTGAATAATAAATAAATAAATAAAATAATTGCACATTAAAGTCACACCTTAAAGCCACATGGATGGACTGTTCTACATGTGCTCAGAAATTCACAAAACATGTCCTGAAGGATATGTAGCTAAGGACACCCTGGACCAGAAGATGTTCAGCAGTAGATCTTAAGAACATAAAAAGAAGGTGGTGTTCTACAGCATTTTTACCCAAGGGAAGTTCTAAAGCCCAAGGGAGGTTATACTCCATAGCACAGAGCATAATAGTTTAGGCTGCTGCATGAAAGGCTTTGGAACCTAAGCTCTGGCCACTCATTGGCCCATTCATTTTAAGCCTCTGGTGTCCGACTCCCTAGACTCAGCCCCTTCCTGAGCCATGCCATAGACTCAAGTGGTTCCAGAGATTTGGAGTCTCCTCCAGGGATATGCTAGATGTAAGCCAGCCTTGGGCTTCCCAGGAAAGTGGTCTCTAGAATGCAGAATTGATGTTGACTTGACTTCCTAGGTAGACTCTAAATCATAAAAGGGAAATCCCACTTTCAGAATTTCGCCCTAGAGGGAAGCATAGTAGAAAAGGATCAGGGGGACAATTTGAAGCCTCTGAAAAATAAAGCTCTCCTCCTCTGTTTTGCCAAACCAGCAAACTAATTTTGTTCTATTAAGAATTTTGGCTTTTATCCTGCCTTTGAAGGATTTTCAGTCAGAGAGCAGCAGGCTGTTTAGACTTCTAGAACAAGGTGGAATCTACTGTAGGGGTGGAAAGGAAATTTCCCCCACCCTTCTGAGTTCTTAAGCTAGTCCAGCAATCAAATTAACATCAGACAAATTAACAGAAGAAAAGAATTAATTTCATATGTGTGGAGAATCTACATGCATATAGATTCTAGGGTAAGTGGGACAAAATGAGAAAGTATATGCTGAGCTAAGAAATGCATGGGACAGGAAGTCTGGAGCTTTAAGGAGAAAGGAGGAAGACTCACATGATGAGAAGGTAATTTGTTTAATGATGACAAGATGCTCTGCAATAAGATGTTTGCCCTGCTATATAGATAAATTCTTAGAAAGGTTATTTCTGATAATAATCCTAATTTTGGGAAATACTCCCACTTTTCATTCTTCTAGATCATAGTGTTTCTTGTGAGCCTGCGGGTCTTGATTGGCTTTAACTCAAAATAATCAAGCTGCATGCCAAAGTGATAACATCTGTGGAAAGCCTGTTCCGAGCAACTTGGGGAAGCCTGTCCTTCAATGGATTCCAGGAAGAGACACCCAAGACTAGATCCCGGTTAAGAAGCTAGAAGTAGAGTGAAGGCAGGAGATCGTGCAGGTCTACCTGGGGCCGGGACGGGGTTGAGAGGCACTGAGAGAGGAGAGTAATACTGTCTTGGTTATGTTAAGCTGAGCCCAGTGCTACCAGAAATATCTGCAAAAAGAATCATTCATTGGTGTTGGGGGGAGAGTCAAGTAAGACTTAAAGAGATGACATAGGACAGATGAGTTGAAGTTGCCCAGTCATGGGGTGCTCTGGAAGTGATTCAACAGGGAGAGAAAATGCCACTCAAGGGAAGGGGTGCAGGAGGTGTGCAGTTGGAGAGGTGAGCTCAGAGACTGGGATCAGAAGTGATCAGGACTTCATCCTGGAGGCAGAGAGGAAGCATTGAAAGTTGATTTGCATCAGGAAAAAGGCAAAACTTGCAAGTTGACCTTAGATCTGAGTCATACGGCAGGGGCAGGGGCGGGGGAGGAAAGAAGAGGGTCAAAACAGGGGAGGGAAGAGCACAAGGGACTGTGGGGATGGATCACAGGTGCCGTGGTGGGGGGAGAACTACAGACACTACATCTGAGGGGAGAAATCAAATATTGTACAAAAATGAACAACTGTAGGGGTAGGACTGGACCACTGTGCAGGTTTTCTGATCCCATGCAGACCGAGTAAAGGAGGAGTCAGAGTCCTCAGCGGTTTTTTGCAGGTCTTTTATTGGGGTTCACCAGGCATATGGCAGGCCGGGGTGCTGGGGGGCCGGGAGGCTGGCAGTCCTCCCAGCCCCCAGCAAATCCGCACTCTCTCTGGGCTCTCTGGCGTTCTCTGCTTCTGCTTCTTTGCTTCTCTCATCGGCTTCTTTCTCAGCTTCTGCTGGCGTCCCCGTGACGCCGCCCTTAAAAGCACAGTCTTAGCTCAGCTGAATCCCATCTACCTATGCCCACACCCTATTCCAGGTGCCCGCCATCAGGCATGCATTCAGGACAAGGATCCATCGTCTATCCTGATGGCAGAAGGGCAGAAAAGCCTGACATTTTCTTTACCTTACAACAACAATGTAAGAAAAAAAAAAAAAAGACAGAAAAGGGAAAATAAATAAAGTGAAAATTTGAAAAAAGAGAAAAAGTAGCTTTGTAAAGTGCAGCCACGTCATTTGCTGGTGCCGACAATCCCCCTAAAGTACACATCTCCCAGGAGAACTGCTGGCAAGCAGGGTGCACCAGGCCCTGAGTCATATCACTGATCTGAGGACTTCTGTCCCCTCCTCAGGTACGGAGGAATTTCCATCGGAGGAAAACTCCCAGTCATCCCCATCACCAGGGAAGCACTCGTTGGATTTTTAAGCGACCTTGGCCAGCTAATGAACGTGAGCGGGGTATGTAAACAGGCTGGGGATTTCACTAGAATTTTCAACTTGCCAGATACCAAGAAACAGAAATTAGCATGAGCGCTGAGGAAAAACAACCCTCTTTCTTGTTTATGTTGATTTTCTAGGGTCCCATCACCAAAGAGGCCGCTAAAGAAATGTCTGCTTTCCTGCAACATCTAGAAACTGAAGACAACATTAAGGTATTGGCCCTGCCCCACCTGACCTAGAGTTAAAAATTCACGCAAACTGGCAATTTAATTTTTATTTCCCCAGCTTAATTAAAAATATCATCCCTCCTGTTGAAATCTAGTGTGGAATGTCTTGCAGCTGCCAAGCCCTCCTCTTCACATTCCTTTTCCTGCAGCTCATTTTTTTAGATCACTGTTAGTGCAGTAACTCGGGTGTTACCTCTCCTCATCACCTGTAGCACAACCTGAGCCTCGCCTTCCCCTAGGTGTGGTTTAACAACAAAGGCTGGCATGCTCTGGCCAGCTTTCTCAATGTAGCCCACAACGCCATCTTGCGGGCCAGCCTGCACAAGGACAGGAACCCGGAGGAGCATGGCATCACCGCTATCAGCCAGCCCCTGAACCTGACCAAGGAGCAGCTCTCAGAGATCACAGTGTAAGGCCCCGGGCCCCAGCTTCACAGCTTCCTTCTTAACTCCACCCTGTGGGCCTTGGAGAGGGTTTTCACTGACATGAGTTGCTGGGTGAATGGCACAGATGAGCGTCAGACTTTCAAATGCTTTGTCTACCAAACCATTGTACAGTCCCCCTCTGCCATTGTTTGAAAAGTAAGTTTATCTTTGGTTCCTTTCCCTTTTGGCTGTTGATAACAACTTACTCCTGGAGCTTATACAAATATTCTCCTTTTCAGTATGCAAAATGACTGCCAGGAACCAGGAAAGTTCAGTGAGTCTTTCTTCACTCCAGCAGTAATTACCTCAGATTCCAGTCATTTCCCACAGACAGTCAGGATTTGGGGATGCTAATAGTTCCTCACCTTCCTCAAGCCTCAGCTCCTGCTCACAGGTTCAGGCAGTATGGACATCAGTCTCTGCATGCTGTAATATGTTTGCTCTGTGCAAGGCCTGTATCTAGTGGGGAGTCCTTTGTCAGTGCAAACTTCCTTTTTTTTTAATTCTTTTTTTTAAAGATTTATTTATTTATTTATACAAGAAGCAGGGCACAGGCCAGAGGCGTGGGAGGGTGAGAGGACTCACCAGAGACAGAGCAGGGAGCAGATCAGGCAGACGACCGAAATACATTGCTGAGGGGAGCAGCTGGCAGGCAAGACAGGAAAGGTCTGCCGCGCCATGCGGGACTCTTATGACCAGCGGGGATTGAACCTGTGGACAGCTTCACAGCGCTGTGCTCAACTGCCTGCGCCACCAGGGAAGGCCCAGTGCAAACGTCTTCTGGAAGGCTGTCAGGGTCCTTGTTTTCCTGCCCCGGTGTGGCTACCTCAGCGTGCTACTGAACATGCCTGTGTCTGCTGGGACTTGGGCCCTGGCGCCTTGGGGGCTCCCTCTGGACACTTCTGGGGCCTAAGGCAGGAGGTTAATTTTGACTCAGCCAAATTTCTGTACCTCCTGCCAAGCCTTTTGAATCTGAAATATGAAACATGGGTTCTCCGTGGTTATAAAATAGTATAGATTCATTAAATAAAGTATATAGTTCTAAGAACTTATTAACTGGAACCCTACATAGTATGGGGTGTTTCCTCTAGACATTTATGTGTGTTTCCTTCCAGTCATTTGTCCTGTCCTGACTCTCTGTGTGGATTGTGCTACCTGTAATTTTGTCGAGCCATGACTAGCACGTGTGGTCCCTCTGTGGGTAAAGGATGGTCCTTTCTCCAGCGGGTGCTGCCCACACCAGGAGTCATGGTGTATGGTTCAAGGTGGATTTCAGCCTCCACACAACCCTTAGTCAGATGCCTCCTTCCTGTTTGATCCAGGGAAAGGCAAATAGAGCCACACTGCTCTGTAACTGTCTTGTTCTCTTTTCACTTAAATTTATTATGTACATTTTCCCAGTTTGTGATGTACATCTTGAAAACATTATTTAACAATATAATAACTTTATTTTTTTATTTTTTGAAGATTTATTTATGCATTCAAGAAATGGTGTGCAGGCCAGAGATGCAAAGGGTGAGAGGATCATCAGAGACAGAGTGGGGAGCAGAACAGGCAGATCTACTGAAATACACTGCTGAGGGGAGCAGTGGGCAAGACCAGAGAGGTCTGCTGTGCCATGTGGGTAGCTCCCTGGCCAGGGATCGAACTCAGGCCACAGTGGCTGGCAGTAGCTTGCTTGATAGCACTGAGAGTTAACCCCTGCACCACCAGGGAGGCCCGATAATAACTTTATTTTAACAAAATAACTTTCATAGACTATATCGCTATCTACTTACAAAAATTTAAGAGAATCTAGAGACAAATTATTAGCACTAATAAGAACATTGCAATTTATGCAATTAATATAAAAGTCCATCTCTATATACCATCAACAAATAATTCGAAAATGTAATAAAATTTTTCTAGATTTTTATGTTAACATGGAACAATAGTCCATGTAACATTTATTTTAACAGTCAATATTAACATGAACAGAAATTCTCCAAATAGCCACTTGACCTTGATCCAATTTGATTTAGACAATTGAGTGGAAAAACAAGCATCGGGCAAGGGAAGGGGATTCTGGAGGCCGTTACCTGGGGTTGGATGAGAGCTTCCCAGAGCTGGACTTTGTTCTTCTCCTGCTTCTAGTCCTCTTCCTTCACCTCTTTCTCCCTATACCCCGTCTTGCTGCAGGCTGACCACTTCAGTGGATGCTCTGATTGCCATCTGCGTGGTTTTTGCCATGTCTTTCATCCCAGCCAGCTTTGTCCTTTATCTGATCCAGGAGAGGGTGAACAAAGCCAAGCACCTCCAGTTTGTCAGTGGTGTCAGCCCCACTACCTACTGGCTGACCAACTTTCTCTGGGACATCCTAAGTGTCAAGTCACGGCACCTCCCTTGACTTCCTGGGCTCAAAGTGTGTGGGCGCCTGTGTCGGCTGTGAGGGGACATTGCAGGTGGGACTCTCACACTGCCAGGGCTGCTGAAAGGGGCTGTGCCGAGAGTCTTGTGCCTGCTGTCCCCTGATACCTCCTTAGAAAGTCACAAAACTAGGACCCCCAAGCTGGGGAAGGATGTGAAATTCAGCAACTGCCGAACAGGAGTTCTACACTGAGGAGGTCTGCAGACCCATGGAATAAATCCGTACTGCAGGCATGAGGCTGGCCTTGCTGGGCATGGAGCTGATGCTATGGGAAGATCTGTGTCTTAACAAGGTTTTAGCAAGGTTTCCCTTTGTTCATTTATTTATTAATGCCTGTATGGTTTCTGTGTTGATAGACTATAATCCAATACCATTATTATTTATAGTGATGCTCAATTTATCCTATTGGGCCAGTGGGGTCCCTTCAAGCTGCCGCCTGTCTCCCTGATGTGTGTCCCTGTTCAGTGTGAGCATCTCCATGCCCTCTGACACGCAAGACATTCCAGGCTCACTCCCCAGCCCTAGCTGGGAATCAACCATCTCCCCAGGGAGATGGCTCCTTTTGGTAGAAAATGCTCTCAGAAGCCAAGATGTGGCTGTTAGAGATGTTCACTGCCACTGGGGTCCTTAAGGTCCCACACCTTAGTGGAGAGGCCTGGGATGTGTGTATGAACAGGTGTAGATATGCACAGGTTTACACATACATTTTTGTCTACTGAACATCAGGTGCTCTAAACCTCTCATTCCAATTCAAAACCACCGGGCTCACTCTGGTTTCTAGTAATTCCTTGAGTGAGAAATTGGTTTCTATTTACCCACCTGAATAATAGAACTGTATGTAGTAAGTCCCCTCTATCATCACTACCTCCTCCCCAACATGGACTCCCTCCTCTCCCTGCTGCAGCTTCCCCTGCATGGAGCTCCTCCTCATTCTGCTCTTCTCTGACAACCCCCACCCCCACCAGCTCAATCTCCTAAAGAACTGTGGGACGCACTCTTCACCCTTCTCACTTTCTCATTCTGCTTGGGACCACTGTGACTACTTCCCAACCCCACCATGGTTGCCCACGTCTGTCCCAACTGAAAGCTTTAGGACTGAAGTGTATAGGAAGGGACAAATGGGAGGAGATGAAAGCATGTCATCTGTGTGAGCTTTGCAAGGCCAAAGACTAGTTTTAACTTTTTCTGAATTCAGAATGCTTAGAAAGTAGAATTAACAGGATTTCATGACCAATTAGAAAGAGTGCATGAGAGATGAGACAGAATTTTAAAATTCATTCTTTCAAAAGAGATAGCCTGAAGGTTCCCTGTGCATGAGATGGGGCTGAGGTAGATTAAGAGGACTAGAGGGACTAAGGTCAGCTTAAGATGTGTTTGCTAATCAAGAACTTAATCAGACAGTAGAGTCAGAATCCCAGACCACATGTGCCAGAGGAGCTGAGCCAGCCCTCACCTGACAAAACAGGTAACCGATCCAGAGAGGTCAAATCCTGGCTCTGCTCTCCTCTCTTCAAGATGAACTATGCTGTGAGCGCCTCCCTGGTGGTGGGCATCTTCATCAGGTTTCAGAAGAAAGCCTACTCCTCTCCAGACCACCTTCCTGCCCTTGTAGCTCTGCTGATGCTGTATGGGTGAGTTGTTTGGGTCATCAATTGAGGCCACCCAAAAGGAACCAGGGGAGGGGCATGCTCCCCTGACAGGAGAGCAGGGTTTTGGTGGCAGTGCTGGCACCAGTTTAGCTCAATCCCCTTCAGGGGCTGAGACTGAAAATCAGGAATCTTTCTGTTTCTCACACATGGAGGTATTCCTGAGGCCCCGTATATTAAGGGACGATGGAGATGCCTCACAGAATCTGAAGTGTGGCCTGACCCAAGTCTGGGAATTGCTCATCCCCATATTCCTTCACTCAGCTATGATTCTCATTCCTCTGTGGCCAATCTCTCCATCTCAGTGTGTACTGACCAAGAGTTACTTGCACATAGTAGAAGATCCCAGCTGAAAAGCTGATCCTGAGGTAGGGCCAGAAGATGACACAGTAGAACATAGAGGAAATCTTGCAACTTTATATCCAGGTTTACAACCTACTATATCCATAACTGTGGAAAGTCATTCACCCTCCCTGGGCCTCAGTTTCCCCATCTGAACATGGCAATAATGATACCTAGCCCTCCCTTTGGCATAGTAGAGTCTTGCCAGAGCAATGCTCTCCACTCATCTCCCTTGGAAACAGAGAATTTAGGAACTAGCATGACTGTGGTGCATGTGCCCCTGTGGACTGGGGAGACAAGCCTGTTGGGAACACAGCTCTGCTTAGCTGATGCAGACAGAAGCAGAAAGCATAGCAGGGGGGTGAATCCTCCCATACATTGTTTAAGGCTTATTAATCTGCAAAGCACATTCTAAGCCATCACGTTTGCTCCTCACAAAACTCCATGATGTGGTCAGGGCAAGTGTTAGTATCTCCATTTAAAGATGAGAAGCAAAGATCAAGGGATGACCTAGCTCTGGTTCCCAGGACTCCTGCCAGTTTAAATGTGTCACCTTGGTGTGAGGGGAATGCGTTCTACCTCAGGGTACAGCAGGTGAAATGGAAATTCGAGTTCCATCCCACCAAGTTGTGTCATTTCACACAGATGGGCAGTCATCCCCATGATGTACCTTGCATCTTTCCTGTTTGATGTCCCCAACACAGCCTATGTGGCCTTGTCTTGTGCTAATTTCTTCATTGGCATCAACAGCAGTGCCATCACCTTCATCTTGGAATTATTTGAGAATGATCAGGTAAGCATGACTTTCTTGGCTTCCTTGTTTGATCACTAGGATGCTGGAGAATACCCGAAGCCAAGCAGAGCCATGAGCAAGTGTTTGCCTGCATACACTTAGAATATAAATGACTATAATTCCTCTCTCCCTCCATCCTTCCTTCACTCATTCTATCCTTTCTTCTTAACACCTTTCCTTCCTTCTTTTTTGCTTTGAGCTAATTGTTCATTTATGTGCCCTGAGAATCATGGTTATCTGAGCTCATTCTGCAGGGTATAAATAACCTACCATGATCCTAAACATTTAGATGTGTTTACTCCTTTAAGAAGGTTTCCTTGGAGACTTTGGATATTAGTTTTAGTATACACATGTAGGTAATGAATTCATGTCAGATATATATCTCCCACTTTCTTACATAAATCATAATCTACTAACATAAGTGCTGTACAAAAAGTACATCTTGGTGACAGGATTAAGAATGTATGGTCCTAAATGACTTATTTTTATGAGCGCTAATGTCCTATTGTCCCAGCCACACCCTAGATGTCCCCCTGGTCAGATGAGGTGATGTGAGCGAAGGTGTAAAAACTAAACAGGAAGGAGGTGATGGATTAAGGATGTGTCAGATGGAGTTGATGGCACTTGGCATCTCCTTCCTCCCTCTTGGGCATTGTTCTGCCCAACACTCCAAGGCTAAGGCAGCATGCAAAACTAGGCACTGAAAAGAAGTTCCCCCCTAAACTCCCCCACTCAACAGACTGGGCACCAACTGGGATGGGAAGGTCCGTGGGCAAGGCATGTCCATCACCTGCTGTTCACCTAGTCAGTCCTCTCAACTGGGTAGTGACAGCAGCCCCTGGGACCTGAGGGAAACTGGGGGTTTCTGCAGCATCTGTCTACCTGATCCCCTTTTCTGCTGGTGACAGCAGCCACTCACAGCCATAGCTACCTAGTGAGGAGCTGAGATCACTGCTGGGAGAAGCTCAGGGCCTCTCTCCCCTTTGGTACAAGCTGGGTTAAGAGAGATCCCATGAAATAGCCCCTGTCTCAAGTGACAACTCATGGCTGTACCAAGGAAGAGAGAGCCCAGGTCACAATCCCACCAGCGGCTACACTTCTGCTGACAGATACCCTGGAGAACTTTCAAAGTGTATAATTTCAAAGTGAGTCTGCAGTGAGGGCCCCCTAGTAGATGACAGGAGAGCCACTTCTCTCCAGAGTCCCACAGGTGCCCACGGTCAGCTAGGGTTTTATGAAAGCAACTTGGAAGTTCCTCATAGACATCCAGTGCCCTGGGCATGGTAAGTCTGTAGAAGAGGCTGCCTAAGAAGCCCCTCCTGTGAGCACTCCAAGACTCCCTTATCTGCTTAAAAAAGTCCTCCTGCTGGGCCCCCTCTGTCTTCTTGCTGTCCAGCCCCAGGAAGGTATCCAGGCCCACCCTGCTCAGGAGAGCCAGTGGGTATGGCCTTGATACCAACTGTCCTGCTCTCCTGAGTTTCAGACCCTGCTCAGATTCAACGCTGGCCTGAGGAAGCTGCTCATTATCTTCCCCCACTTCTGCCTGGGCCGGGGCCTCATTGACCTGGCACTGAGTCAGGCTGTGACAGACGTCTCTGCTCAGTTTGGTAGGTGGCTATTGGGGGTGGTAGAGCGTATGTCTGGGGACTCCAAGGCAGGGAGGGCTATAGTGGGGGTTCCTAGGTCAGCCCTGCAGCTAGGAGTGGGGTGGGGACCCCTGACTGATCTGGGATTGCCCGGCCACCTGGGAGGGACTGGGATGCTGCTGTTCCATGATGGAGGAAGGGACTTCACAGGATGAGAGGTCAAGGGCATGTTTCTACTTTTCCACATTCCCACTTGAGGAGTTAAGTTGAGCCTTGCGGTTGGCTCTCACTTAGCCCTGTGCGGAAGGCCTGCTCGAGTTAAGTCTAGTGGAACCAGATCTTTCAGGGCAGCTGGGGCAGGTGGAGTGGATTTATTTCCCGTGGCCTCCTTCCCCAGGTGAGGAGCGTTCTTCAAATCCATTCCAGTGGGACCTGATTGGGAAGAACCTGGCAGCCATGGCGGCAGAAGGCATGGTGTATTTCCTCCTCACGCTTCTCATCCAGCGCCACCTCTTCCTCACTGGACGGTATGTCTCTCCCTACAGGTGCCAGGGCAGCTCCCTGCACATGTCCATGGTCTGAGCTTCACAACTCTGGGGTCGTCGCCTTTCTTTTGATCTTTACTCCAGCGTGTTTTCTTACATCCTGAGAGCCCAGTTTGGTCTGAATAATGCAAGAAGGGGAAACACATTGAAATAGGCACCTTAAAACTTGTGCAGAATCTCATCTTTCACATATTTAAATACCATATATCATTAGTTTCTATTAGATATTTTTTAGATTTATTTATTTATGCATACAAGAACTAGGGGACAGGCCAGGGGTATGGGGGAGGGTGAGAAGATTCACCACAGACAGAGTGGGGAACAGAACAGGTGGATCTACTGAAATACACTGCTGAGGGGATTGAACTTGTGCTGCAGTGGCTGCTGATAGCTTCATAGGCTGTGTCTTAACCCCTTGTGCCACCAGGAAGGCCCAGATTCTATTAGTTTTGATGAAAATTATTATATTTAATCCTCCTCATTTATTCAATAGATAATTATTCAAGTTAAACAGGATAACATCACAAATGACATTGGTTAAGGGGTATTCAAAGTACTAAGAAATAGATCTACATCTCTGCATTCATGAGAAAGTAGACACAGCAGGTGTCAAAAATAGGTTGATGAACTAAAATAAATGTTCATTTAACGTGGGGGCAGGGCAGGAGGGGGTACTAGGGAGTGATGTGGGAGGAGAGCCAAGTGGGGAGAGGCAGTGACCGTGGGGTGCAGGGAGGTGATTGCCACCTCATTCTATCCGACCAGCTCAGCAGTGGCCCCAATCAACCCTGCCCTTCTTCCTGGGGCTCTTGTCCCAGGTCCTGCCTCATTCTGCTGTGGGCACTCAGTTTCCCGAAGGCAGGCCTTCTGCGATCCAGCTTGACCTTTACTGGGTTCAATTCTGCAGCCTGAATGGCAAATCACTGGGCCCTCAGGACAAGCTTTCCTGGACAGTGTCTTGTTTCTTATCCTTTCATCCACTCAGGCAAGTCTGGTCACATTTAAATAGAAATTCCAAGGTCTTGTATTTTAGATTTTGATCCACGGGACCTGCATTGTTGGAAATGAATCTGCCTCTCTACTCACAGGGTTGTGAGGATTGAATGAGAAGTGGTGTCAACACCCTCTGAATAGAAAGGCAGGATCAGGCAGTCGTTCTGGTGATGGGAAACAGTGGGAGTAATTGCTGCCCACAGGGTGCTTGGACCTCAAGCCCATCTCTGTGGCTCTTACCACATCTTTAAAGGCTTTGTGGGAGGGGAAGGAGCTATTTACCAAAACAAACTTAATAGCCTCAAAGTCAGATGCCTCGACAATTGAGTGAGCCCTGCCTGCATTAGCACTGAAAGAGAACCAGAGAAGCATGACAGTTTCTGATTCCAGAAGCTCACAACCCTGTCTGCACTGACAGGCATTCAGGAGAGAGGAGGCTGGAGAAAGGAAGGCAGAGGATATGACATGGGTGGCTGAGAAAGGTGGGGGGCAAGAAAGGGTGAGGACTTGGGACTTAAAGCTGAGGGCTTAGGGAGCTGTCACAGTGCTTTAATCAGGGCAGTGACTTAGGAGGCCAGACAGGAGCCCATTCGTGCACACAGACAAGCAACAGTGGTGGCCTGGACAGGAGTGGGACATCAGGAGATGGAGAAAAATAGGTTGATGGACTAAATCATCGGAATTTATTAGACAGGACTTAGTTATGAACTGTATATGGTAGTGGGGAGAAGGGAAGACTCTAGATCAGTATGGTCAGGGAAGATTTCAGAGAAGAGGCTGGGTATGGGAGGATGGAGAGGATTCTGTTTGGCAGATCAGAAGGAAGAGACCACTGGGGCACTTGCAACACTGGTTGCAAGTTAGGCACAGCCAGCCTTGAGCTAGGGACAGGGTAGACCAAATGGCTGGTGTAGGAGATAAGTGGGAGCACAGTTGGGAAGAGTAGGTGGGCCCGATTGCAGGGTTCTGGGGTTCCAGCTGAAGATTTGGGGCTTAAACCTAAAGCTGATGGGGAAACATGAAAGGGTCGGGATGTTGGGTGACCTGATGAAGAAATAGGAGGCTTGCTTGCTAGTGCAACTGCATACTCAGGGTCTACCATCAACAGGGTATTTCAGTGATGATGATGGCTACCAGGTTTTAAGTCTTGACTTTGCACCAGACCCTGTACCAAGCTCCCTTTCACCACATTCCTGTAAGGAAGACACTGATACCTGCTCCCTGTCCTGTGGCTGAAGGAGTGAAGTTGACAGATTCAGAGACATGTCAAACATCAGACATAACTCAAGTGCGCTGGACATGAGTGCTTGCTCTCCGCCTGGTGGCTGTCCTGAGAATTCAAGCCTGGGGGGTGCTAGGTCAGGCTGGGCAGTAGCCCAGAGAGGGAAGAAAGTAAGCACAAAGGACAGTGTCAGGGATGCGTGACCACCCCAGTCCTGTCCCCTTTCCTTTCTCTAGGATGGCCGAGCCCACTAAAGGATCAGTCATAGAAGAAGATGATGATGTGGCTGAAGAAAGACAAAGAATTACTAGTGGGGGAAATAAAACTGATATCTTAAGACTAAATGAGCTGACCAAGGTAAGGGAACAGGTGTAGTGAGGAGGTGCCAGTTAGACCCGCAGGTGTCACAAAGCTGTCATTTGCCTTCCGTAGAATAAGTGGTCCATGCAAGGAATTAGTTTCCTAATTTCAAATGGAGTTATCATCGCTGAGTTAAAATTGCCTTCTAAGAACATCTGGTTCCAATGTGGTTTCCCCAGTGTTCACCTAGAGAGACATGAGGCCTCAGCGGGAGCCACACCAGCAAGCACCAGTGGCACCTTTCCCCGTTTCTGCCCAGTGGCTCAAAGGGTACTCTTCGGGATCAGAGCCTTTCTCTGAGCACCCCTATCAGTGTACCCTTCTTGTGTTGATAGCTTTTGCCTAATATTCTTTGCTCACTCACTCTTTCCCCCTCCCTGCTCTCAGTTCTCATCCTATATTCTCTGGATCTTGCAGATTTACGCTGGAACCTCCAACCCAGCGGTGGACCAGCTTTGTGTGGGGGTCCGCCCTGGAGAGGTGGGTACTCCAGACCACACATGAAAGGACTTCAGAAAATCAGCTCTCTGTATGTCTCTTCCCCCACCACTAGCCAGGAGCATTCAAATGCAAGTCACATAGGTCATCTAAGTTTTTCTAGTAGCCCCATGAAGAAAGTAAAAAGAAAACAGATGAAGGTAATCTTAGTTATTTCTCTTATCCAGTATATCTAAAATGTTATCACCTGAACTTGTAATGACACATTATTAATGAGCTCTTTGCATTTTCTTTTCATTCTAAATCTTCAAAATCCATTGACAGCACGTGTCAATTTGAATAAGGTGTTTCCAGCAGTCAGTAGCAACTATAGGAGAGGAAAAACTCTCTTTCCTATTACCCTCTGAGGGCCTGGGTTGGGCTCTGTAAATTGAACTGACAAAAGACTGATGAAGAAAAGAAAAACAAAAAAAAAAAGGAAAAGAAAACCAGAAGTTTGTTAGCTTGTATGTTGTGAACACACAAGAGTATCAGAGAGGAATGACTCAGGGCTGGTGAGAGCTGGGCTTCTGTGCCGTAGTAGCCAAGGAATGATGCATTTTCAGAGAAGTGACAGGACAGGGAAAGGGACTGTGAGTATGTAGGGCGGAAATTGCAGGAAGGCTGCCATATGGAAAACTAGTGGGAGATAAAGGCTAGTTAGTGATGTTTATTGTGCAGTTCCTGTGGTGTCATCTCCAAGCTGATGAGGGTCTAAAGTTGTCTCCAGTGGTTAGTGTCTGTCCTTTACAGTAGAGTGGTGAGATGGGGGACAATCTGGGGACAAATTTACATAAATTACACATTTCTATCCTGCATTTATGCAAATGGGGGAGAACAAAGAGTTTTTCTCGTACCTGCTGCTTCTCAGTGGCCTTCAGATCAAATCATTCCTACACCATAGTGGCCTGTTTGGGGATGGCATGTTCTGCCTGCCCTTGCCACACATGCCTGGTAGCCTCTGTAATGGAAGCGCAGGTCTAAAATGCCTCTCTGTAACCCACATACTTGCCCCAGGACCCAACATTCTAGGCCTTTTTGAGCTCTCGGACAAGGCAGTTCTTTGTGTTCTCCCTCAGTGCTTCGGCCTCCTGGGAGTGAATGGAGCTGGCAAAACAACCATATTCAAGATGCTTACTGGAGACACCGCAGTGACCTCAGGTGATGCTACTGTAGCAGGCAAGAGGTGAGAGTCTTGCTCGTCCTGCCCCAGGGTGTCTTTCATGGCTTCTGGCTCATGTCCCTGTCCCAGCACAGGGAGGGTGAAAGCATCAGACCCTGTAAGATCTGTGCAGAGGGCGAGACCTCCCCGCAAGCACAGTCCACAACATCCAAAACACTGCCCTTTGGCAAACTTATTTGAACTGTGATTGTAGAGATTCATCTGTTCGCGTGGAGTCTTGGGGAGCTCTTGGCTGCACTAAGTCAGTGGTTCTTCATCTTTTCGGGGCATGGATTGCAGTGAGAATCTGATGAACACTTGCACCTTCTTCCTATAAAAATGCACCATTGTGGGCCTCCATGGTGGCGCAGCGGGTTGAGCGCAGCTCTGTGAAGCTGTCCGCAGCCTCTGCAGTGCAGGTTCGATTCCTGGCTGGCCAGGGAGAGTCCCACATGGCGTGGCAGACCTCTCCTGTCTCACCCGCCACTCCCCTCAGTAGTGTATTTGAGTCTGTCTGCCTGTTCTGCTCCCTTCTCTCTGGTGAATTCTCTCACCTTCCCGCACCTCTGACCTGTACCCCAGTTCTTGTATAAATAAATAAATCTTTAAAAAAAATGCACCATTGTGCCTGTTACCTCCCCACTGTTTTTGCAGTTTCGGGGGAATTTACTGATCCATGGAGCACATTTATGACTCTGTAGGAGCCCCGGGGCCCCAGATGAAGAACCCCAGTGACACAGCACCCTTTCTCTGCTCAACTCTCTAGGTGGGGTTTGAGGGGCTTTGGAGACCTTAGTCCTCATTGGTTTTCTGTGCTAATGATTGACTTTGCCAGGCTAAGGAGATTTTATAAAGAGAAAACTGGTGTGTCCCTTGGATTTTGGAGGGTACCTGCTCCTCTTATTAAATGTGCACATTTCTCAAGCAAAATGTGAGATGAGAAGAGTCAGCTTCTTCATCTTGTTATCAGAAGCTTCTCCAGCCCCAGCTCTGTGATCACCCCTCTGTGATCACAGCAACTTGCTAATTGCTGTTGCTTCTTCCTGCAGCATTTTAACCAACATCTCTGAGGTTCATCAAAGTATGGGCTACTGTCCTCAGTTTGATGCAATTGATGACCTGCTCACAGGGCGTGAACACCTCTACCTCTATGCCCGTCTTCGAGGTATACCACCGGAGGAAATTGAGAGGGTAAGAAATGGTTTTTGTGGCCATTTAGGAAATTGATAAACCATCAGATGATCTCATGAGAGTGATTTACTTAGATGAAGAGCTGGAGTATGCTCTCTATCTACAATCCGCAAATGCTTACCAAGCACCTACTATGTGCCAAGTCTTGTAGCAGTGAACAGAACAGACAAAAAAAATCCCTGCCTTCATATCTCACAAAACCATGCATGTATTTGTTCTTTTTTAAAAAATATTTATTTATGCATACAAGAACTGGTACAGACCAGAGGTGCAGGGAGGAGGTGAGAGGAATCATCAGAGACAGAGTAGGGAGCAGAACAGGCAGACTGACTGAAACACACTGCTGAGTGGAGCAGCAGGCGAGACAGGAGAGGTCTGCTACACCATGTGGGCAGCTCCCTGTCTGGCCAGGTATCAAACTTGGCTGCAGACAGCCCCATGGCACTATGCCCAACCCCCTGCACCACCAGGGAGGCCCCACTTTTTTCTTCAACCCAGCAATCTCACTTCTGGGAATTTGCCCTGAAGCAAACACCTCCCACAGTACAAAATGCATATGCATAAAGTGATGATCCTCTGAAAGACCAAGAAGCATTTCACTGCATTTGTAATCACAAAATATTAGAAATTACCTAAATGTTCAGGCATGGAAGAGTGAATAATTTATGGTACAGGCACGCAATCAAGTTTTATGCAATTGTAAATTATTAAAAAAAAAAAAACAGGGAGTTCTTTCTAAGTGAAAAAATGTACAAAAAAACACATGTAGAATGCCCCTTTAATGTAAGAAAGTGGGAAAAATAAGAAAGCATGCAGATGTCTGCTTACCTTTATAAGTAGAGACTCAGGAAAGATAAATCTGAAAACAGTGACTGGTGATCAAACAGAGGGATGCAGGAGTGAAGAACACACCTCTCAGGAGATGGCCTAGTATAGTTCTGACTTTTGGAAGCAGGTAAATGTTTGATATATCCAAAAAATAACATTCACACAATAAGAATGGGAAAGGGTAAAAGTGAAAATAGAAAGGAAATCCTAACCCTGAAAACAAACTGAAACAAATGAATTCAGCTTTATTCAAGTAAATGTCATGACATAGAAAGGGGAGAAGAGGAATCACTGCTAGCCCAACCTCTGAGTCTACCACCTCAGTCTCAGTGAGGGGAGCACAGGGAAAGAACTACAAACAAATTCTGGGCTCTTTATGCTTTTTTATAGTAGCCTGGCAAAGCAATTCTGAAGTAACTTTAGATGTGTTACAGGATTTAGTTAATGAATAAATACATACATGTTGTTGGGAGTCAGAGTTCTCACTGTGGAAGAAGAGACATGCAAATATGGGAGGGGAAAGCAAGAGAAGATCCCTGTGGGAGGGACTGAAATGGGAGATTGTTGTGAACTCACACAATATCTCTCTGCATGTGTTGTGTGCATGCAGGTGCACAGGTGAACGGGTGCTCATGTGTATTGACATCTGCCTGCATATGTCCATGCACACATATGTCTGTGGTCATGTATGTGTGTGTCTGTCCTCTGAAAGGCCAAGAAACACAAATACCCCGATTGTCATGAGCGTGTTTAGTGCTGACATTTTGGTCTCCAATACCAATCCCCATTGAAAGGAACCAAGACTCCTCAGATAAATGACAAACTCCAGGACTAGAACAACAGAATTATAAAGCGAACCTGCAACATCTAATCATGGCAGAAAGCAAAGAAATACTTTAATTAAAAAACCACAGAACGATGGGGGGGGTGTCTCAGAAGGCAATCTCAGGGCCTCCCCTGGTGGCACAGCAGTTGAGTGCTGGGCTGCAAAGCTGCTTGCAGCCTCTGCAGCGCCAGTTCTATCCCTAGCCACTGGTGAGGGTCCCACATGGCGCGACAGACCTCTCCTGCCATGCCCACTGCTCCCCTCAGCAGTGTATTTCCTCGGTCTGCCTGTTCTGTTCCCCGTTCTAGCTCTGGTGAATTCTCTCACCCTCCTGCGCTTCTGACTGTACCCAGTGCTTTATAAATAAATAAATAAATCTTTTTTTTTTAAAAAAAAGAATAAGTCAACAATTAAAAAAAAAAAAAGAAGAAGGCAATCTCAAAAGGGATCCCCAGGGTCAAATAGGCACAACTTGAGCCTCAAAATAACTCAATACCATAGTAAATTATAAAACCATGACCACCTCCCTGGTGGCGCAAGGGTTAAGACACAACCTATGAAGCAATCTGCAGCCACTGCAGCATGAGTTCGATTCCCGGCCAGCCAGGGAGCAACCCACATGGCGCAGCAGACCTCTCCTGACTCGCCCACTGCTCCCCTTAGCAGTGTACTTCGGTCAATCTGCCTGTTCTGTTCCCCACTCTGTCTCTGGCAAATCCTCTCACCCCCCCCCCCACCTCTGGCCTGTACCTCACCTCTTGTATGCATAAATAAATAAATCTTAAATAAAATAAAATAAAATAAAAAAACCATTGAGGGGAAAGTGGGAATTCATAAGTTCATACTGTTGAATAGATAAACAGGACAAAACCGAGGGTTCTTGCTGAAAGATAAATGCTGAGGGCCAACTAATTAATGAGAAAATCTTGGCATTGGGTAATCATTTTGCAATGATCATAATAAAGACTGGAATGGTTGCAAAATCTAGGAGAAAAATTTTATGAGAAAATATGTGTGTGGTTCAAAAGAATCTCCTTCAAGTTGTTAATTGGTTGCAATGGGGGAAGCATAATAATTTTACAATGGAGAAATTAGATGACCACTTAACTAGGTTATCAAAATTAGCCTCATCTATGAGGAGCAGATGGACATATCCCTACACATGATACCCTGAGAAGGACACACACACACAGAGAGAGAGAGAGAGAGAGAGAGAGACAGAGACAGACAGACCTAGGACCTCACCTAAGCAATACTCTAGCTGGGAATGTGTAACCTGAATTTTGTCATGAAGAAACATCAAAAAACTCCAAAGAGGCACATACTCTTAAAATATATATATATACAGGGACAGTATGCTTCCAAAGTGTCAAAGTCATAAAAGACAAAGACTATGGAAATGTTCTCATCACAGAAAACTATGTAGACACAGTACATGAATATTGAACAAGCTGGATCTTGTATTGAAGAGAATATAATATCAGGAAAGACATTATTGGGCCACTTAACAAAACCAAACATAAACAGTTGATTGACAATATATTCTGAATACTATTCATAGAAGTATTCGGAAGATGGTAGATAAAGGTATCATGTTAAATACACTGACATTGGTAACTGTGTGTGATTATCATTGTCAGAGACAGTTAAGAGATATGGGTTATAGATATATAAGACACTATCCCTATTTTCATATTTTATTTGTAATCCCTGAAGTATTTAGAAGTGAAGGGTAATGATGTATAACTTAACTCAAATGGGCTGAAAAGTGTGTGTGTGTGTGCGGGCTGAAAAGTGTGTGTGTGTGTGTGTGTGTGTGTAGAATGAGTGTAAGAGAGGAAGAGAGTATCAGGTTTATCAGTGTTCCTTGTGCTAATGGTTCTTACACATTTCTATAAATTGGACTATTCCAAATAAAAAGTTTAAAAGGAGCGTACATTCTAGCAGGGCAGACAATAAATAGAAACATAAGTAGTATATACAGAACATTGGGGACTGAAATGTCCTTAGGTGAGAAATAAAGCCGGAAAGAGTTGTCAGGCTGGGGTTTGCACACTGAGGTGGCTGGAGAAAGGCTCACAGAGGCAGCAACTTCTCACTGAAGACCTAACGTTGCTGAGAGAGGCGGCTGTGCACATACAAGGGAAAGAGCTTTCCAGGCAGAGGGCCCAGGAATTGCAGAAGGCAAAAGCGTGGCGTGTAGGGGAGCTGCCACCCCTGATACATGTGGCAGAGAATGAGACTGTTTCAGCCTCGCTGGTTCTGCCATCATGGGGTGTGAGCTCTAGGAACCAGGCTTTGGATTGGTAGAGGTTTGAGGTGTTTGCTCATCTATCTGTCCTGAATGAGATTTCTTTCTCTTTCCTAGGTTGCAGACTGGAGTATTAAGAGCCTGGGCCTGTCTCTCTATGCAGACCGCCTAGCAGGCACCTATAGTGGGGGCAACAAGCGGAAACTCTCCACGGCCATGGCCCTGATAGGCTCCCCAACTCTGGTGCTGCTGGTAAGGCCACCTCGACCTGTGAGGACAGGGGAGACCAAGGGTTTGAACCAAGTGCAGCATCTCAGTGGAGGGGTCAGCCCACTTAGGAAGTGCAGCTGTCTGTCGCTGCACCTCAAGCTGCTCGCTGGGAACACTCCGGCTGGGTGGCCATCACGGCACATCCTTGCTGCGTTGCTGGGATGTTACCTGGAGGCTGCAGGCCACAGTGGGGACAGCCAGCCCCTCTGTGGAATGGTGTCTGGTCACAAATGACTGCGCCTGAGCACGTCCACATAGTCTGCAGTGGCCCGGGGCTCTGGCTGCATCAGAGGCTCATGTGACTCTGACTGGAGTGGAGCCATCCCCAGAGGCCCAAGTTCATGTGGTGGGGTCCATGAGGACAGGGCTACAGAACATGGAGGGGCCACAGGAGTCCTCTGGGCGCTCTCCTGCCTCCTTGTAAACTTAAATGTAGGCTCTTTTTTCTTTTTAAAATGTCATTTGACCATTGCCTTAATCAAGTAACCCATTTGTGGCTGAAATGCCCTAGAGGTATGCATGATGTTTCTTTACTGTCCTGACTCACCTTCAGCAAACCTGGGCTCCTGGGCCTCACCAACTGGGAGTTGACTTTGGGCTTTGTGAGCCAGAGAGCAGAGTGGCTTGGAGGGAGTTGGTCAGGAGGGTGCAGAAACTGGGGATGCAGAAACTGGGAGCCACCAACTCCAAGCTGCGCCCCCTGCCTCCCCACAGGATGAGCCCACCTCAGGCATGGACCCCCAGGCACACTGCATGCTGTGGAGCACCATTGTGAGCATCATCAGAGAAGGGAGGGCCGTGGTCCTCACATCCCACAGGCAGGAGCTCCCTAGGGTGGGGTGGCATGGCTGGGCCAGCAGGACCTCCCCAGCCCTCACCTCCTCTCTCACCTCACAGCATGGAAGAATGTGAGGCCCTGTGTACCCGGCTGGCCATCATGGTTAAGGGTGCCTTTCAGTGTCTGGGCACCAGCCAGCACCTCAGTACAAGTAAGGAGATGGTGGGGGTCCCTCCACTACCTCTGGGGTATTCAGCCAGGCATGAGCTCTCTACTAACACTTGGGTGGCTTGTTGTCCCCTCATCCCAAGGGCACCTGCAGGTGGTGGCTGGGCCTCATTCTGCAGCAGCAGATGGAGAAAGCAGTAGTGTTGAAAGAAACTCCTCTCCAGTGGTTGAGATTCATGAGTTTGCAAATGGAGGGGTGGGGTGTCCTGATCAGAGTGCATGCAGAGCCTGATTGGGATGAGGAAGGATCACTACCCCTACCTCATTATCCCACCACTGATCCCAACAGATCTAAGACCAACGACCTATTTAATGAGTCCAGAGTCAACATTAAAATGATTAGGAGACCAAATGGCCTGAGAATCAACTTGTTTTTCTGCCCTGTTTTATCAAGCTTTTGAATTTGAGAAATGACCATGTATTAAACAACAAACCAGCAATACCAATGACCTGAGCATTTACACATTGTAAATGCTGTAAATGATGAGTTATTAATAATAGTGGTTGAACCAAAGCTGACAATCAGTTAAAATAGCATCATCATAGTAGTGCCATGCTCCCTATGCTTTATAACTGGCAAAGGGTGGAATTATAGTTATCACTCATTTATCCAACACTTTTGAGATCCTAAAATACAGAAGCCACAGAGTCACGGTGAAAGGAACAGCCCAAGACACCCCTGATCTGTGCAGAGATGCTTCTTGAGGTACCCATGGGACTGCACTGCATAATACACACCATTCTTCATATGCTCAGGGAAGATAAAGGATTCAGAGAAAGATCTAGTGGATTGGCTAATGGGGGAAATATTTGACCCTCGATTTCTTCAGCACCACAGCTTGGACATGGCACAGACATCAAGGGGGTACTCCAGCAGGTGTGGTCACCTGACCTGTGCCTGTAGCTTCCTCTGTTCAACTGCTGGGGACACAGACATTCCCTGCTTCTCTCTCTCTCACTCCCTCATATCCCCACTTAGAGCGGGTAAGAGGGGAGCATTCCTTACAGGAAGAACAGTCGATTTTCTGCAGAGGGACTAGTCCTTGAGCATGGAGGGAGCGAGGGAGCGTTGGAATAGTTATAACTGACTCAGTCTAGGGTGAGTAAGAGTGCAGGGAAGCCAGGCAGCAGCCTTGTACATACTCCCTGGTGGACCATTCTTCACCCCCAGGAGGGTGACCAGCTCACCTGGGGAAGAGAGGAAGGGAGCACCAATGACCCTGGTTTTGACAGCCCCATTTGCTTCTGGCAGCTTCTTCAGAAAAGTGCTGCTGCTCACACTGGCCAGTCTCTTGAGAGGCCAGGCAGCCTTTGCCATCAGCAAATAAGCATTAGCCTCTCAAGTCTAATGCAGATGTGACCTCCGCATGGAGCTGAAACGAGCTTAGATTTCATAAGGTATGTTAGAGGAAAAGGAGCATTTCCAGCAGTCGGACCTGGGACACTGCTGTGTCCCCAGGACTGTCCCCAGGAGTGGTGAAGATGAATACACCTGCCCTCTTGACAAGATTTGTGACCCACTCTACCTTTCTGACATTTAGACCTCTAAAGGCTAATATCAAACAATCTCTCCAGGCTATCCTGGTATTTCATTTTCTCCAGCACACAAGGTGTGCTGGACCTCTAATTCATTAGGACCTCTAATCCCTAACATTTGGGATGAGTCTATTCCTTATTTGGGGTTGCCTTGGGCTGACTTCTAACAGAGGCCTCCCCTTCGCTGCCATGGGTGCCCCTTAGGTTTGGAGATGGCTACATCGTCACAATGAAAATCAAATCCCTGAAGGATGACCTGCTTCCTGACCTGAACCCCGTGGAGCAGTTCTTCCAGGGTAACTTCCCGGGCAGCGTGCAGAGGGAGAGGCGCCACAATGTGCTGCAGTTCCAGGTCTCTGCCTCCTCCCTGGCCAGGATCTTCCAGCTGCTCGTCTCCCACCAGGACAGCCTGCTTATGGAGGAATACTCGGTCACACAGACCACTCTGGACCAGGCAAGTGGCCCAGTGCCATGTGCAGAGCAGGGCCGGCTGGAGCCCGCACAAGAGGGACACAGGACAGGCCCAAGGTTGCACCTCTCTGTCCATTAGGGTAAAACCTGGTATAGCAGAAACTTTTCCAACACTGTTTCAGTCATCAGCCAGCCTCTCTGACTTGATGTCATCCTTCCCTCTACAAGAACTATCACATGTCATTTCATCCTTCCTGGCTTGTGGGGTGACTTTTTTCTTTTTTGCATAAGCTTTACTGATGCTTAATTTACGTGTATAGTTCAGTGAGTTTTAATAAACTTATATGGAGTGTGTAGGTTTTTTTTATGTGATCACTTTTTTATTGTGATAAAAATATGCACAACCTAGTTAGCCATTTTTTAGTGTAGACTCAGTGGCACGAAGTACATCACATTGTTGTACAACCATCACCACTGTTGATCCCAAGAAAGTTTACATTTTTCCAAATTGAAATTCTTTCTATGAAACAATAGTCTTCTCTAATACCCCCAGCTACTGTTTTCACTGTTCACCTTTCTGTGGATTGTTCCATGTACATCGCTTAAGTAGACTATGTAGTATTTTTCCTTTCATATCTAATTTAACATAATGTCATCAAAGTACATTCATGTTGCACATGTGTCAGAATATCTCTCCTTTATAAGGCTGAGTAATATTCCTGTGTGTGTGTGTGTGTGCACGCGCGCATGCACGTGCGTGCATACATATTGTTTTATCCCTTTATAAGGACATTCTGTTTATTCCTTTGCATGGACATTTGTTTCTGAGGTTTTTCCCCTTGTTTGTTTTTTTAAAACTGTTTAATAAAGCAGTATAAAAAGGCGAGTCTTGGGCCTCCCCTGGTGGCACAGCAGTTGAGCACTGGGCTGTGAAGCTGCCCACAGCTTCTAAAGCACCGGTTCTATCTCCGACTGCCGGCAAGGGTCCCACATGGTGCGCAGACCTCTCCTGCCACACCTGCTGCTTCCCTCAGCAGTGTATTTCATCAGTCTGCCTGCTCTGCTCCCCGCTCTGGCTCTGGTGAATTCTCTCACCCTCCCGTGCTTCTGACTGTACCCAGTGCTTGTATAAATAAATAAATCTTTTAAAATAGAAAAAGGCGAGTCTTCATTCCTTCGAGGAATTACTAACTAGCACCTCCTTGTCAGCTGTGAGCAGTGAGGTAGGAGCAGGTGTCATGTCTACATTGCACATTGAGTAAGAACAGAACAGAGAAGAGAGTGGCTCCTTCCTTTTTTTTTTTTTTTTTAAGTTTCTTCTGAGAGGCTTAGAAGGACCCTGCTAGCTGAGACTCTGCCTTTCCTTGTTTAACCCAAACTCAGTGGCCCAAGTCCTCCCACAGATCTCTTTGACTTATCTAAGAACTCTAGGGTACACTGGTGGCCTGTCCAGGGCACTGGTGTCCAGACTGCCTCAAGTGGGCCAGCCCCTGGCAGAACACCAAACTTCAGCTGGGCTGCATGCTTACTGGGCAAGATAGAAGGCAAAGTAATGGGGGAGAAGGGCTGTTTTTCTGGAAACACCTACCTAGTGTTGCTGTTCTCTTGCCTCCAGGTGTTTGTGAACTTTGCTAAACAGAAGACTGAGATTCATGACCTCCCTTTGCACCCCCAAGCTGCTGGCGCCTGTTGACAAGCCAAGGTACCCCTGCTGTTGCTTCTCAGCCCACTGCCTGAGGCAGCCCCTCGGCTCAGGGGGTCTTCCGCTGGGCCTGAGGGCCCCCTGGACACAGATGTGACTCTTTCAGAGAACCCTACCCATTCCATTTCTCCATCGTTCCCTCTGGTTCCGTCCATGTCTCCCCCACCCCCACATCCCTGCTACTCCTCACCAATTCTGTGCAGTGTGGTTCAGTCAGTGGTTCTGTGGGTTCCTCTTATAATCAGGAAGCCAGTGGATGGTATAAGAGTGTTTTGAAAAGAACTTTCTCACATGTTTTTACTAACAGCAATAAAAATTTGAAAGTTTTTATGAGAAGGGAATGAGAAGGAATGTTGAGAGAATACTATCATGTGTTTGGTTGTTGAGCTCTGAAAGAAGGGAATTAACTGGCACACCATTTCTATAGTGTGTACATGTGGTTAAAGGGTTATTGTCTGTTTTAGGAAAAGGGCACTTTGTTCTCTATTAAAATACCAAGATGTAAAAGAAGACGCAATAGAAGGTATATATCCTAGCCCTTCTTTGTTTTGCATAGAAGAACTGGGGTGTAGGTCAGAGGTGTGGAGGGGGATGAGAAGATTCATCAGAGACAGAGTAGGGAACAGAACAGGCAGATCTCCTGAAATACATTGCTGAGGGGAGCAGCAGGTGAGTCAGGAGAGGTCTGCTGTGCCATGTGAGTCAGCTCCCTGGCTGGGGATCAAACTCAGGCCATGGAGGTTACGACACTGAGATTTAACCCTTAGGCCACCAGGGAGTCCCTTTAGTAACTCTTGGGATCAGTGTTTCCATGTTCCTACCCTGGCACAGTGCCTCACATAAGGACATGCCCTTCTCAGTGATCTCAGCGGTGGGGCATGGGGAGGAAATGTGCAGCATGTCCTTGAATAACACCTCTTTGTTTAACATTGATGAGGAAGAGTCTATGCTGACATTAACCATAACAACATCACACAAGGACGGGCTTCCTCGAGCTTTCACTGTGTATCCGCTCACTTAAAGACTTGGTTTCAAAAATCTGCCAATGACATTAAAAACTTGTTGTACTGGTGCCTACTCCAGGATCCAGGTGCCTTGACTTCAACCTGGGATTTTAAAGAGATGAAGTCATTCAGCCGTTCTCTCCTGACTAACCTGGAGAATGAATCAAACAAAATCAAAACATTTTTCCAATAAGTACAGATGTGCAAAACCTTATTTACCATAAAGTTCTCATTCCTCCCACTAGTTTCATGATTGCAAGAAACCAAATGTCTTGAATGCTTGAAATACTCCTTTCCAAAGCTGCACCTGCAATGAATTTTTCCCTTTCTTCTTGACTATGTGGCAAGGTTGATTTTGCCCCACGTCCACCTAGAGGATTCTAAAATGCTCATGTGAAGTTCCCCATCCAGGAAGGGTAGTTTTGCTGAGATTTTCCAGGCACTTTTTCCTCAATTATAGATCTTATAGTTGCTGATTACACCAGTAGAAAATTATTCTTAGAAAACATAATTGGGTAGCAAAAATATTTACTGGAACTACCAATGGTTTTCCTACACCTTTGGTATGTTCCCTCATAAAGGGTTAATACCAGGTGTCTCTGAGCCAGGTGAGGTCTGATCTATAATCTGCAGCAGCTAATCCCAAATTTTCCCACCTTCTTGGATAAGACCATTTTTCAAGTGTGTTTGTCACACTTTAGCAAACAAGTGTGAGAAAACTGCTACATATTTACTCTATTGGTATCTTTTTCATAATAATTGCACGACTCAAAACTAACCTGACTTTATGACATATTAACTTTATAAAGGTTTGCAAACATGCTTCTGCATAGCATTGCAAACAAGTGTCATGAAGCGAGAAGTAAATACATTCTTTTTTATATCATATACTTTAAAATGAGCTTCCTTAAAGTAACCTACAAAAAAGAAAAGGATTGTTTCTCCCACTGAGTTCTGGAAACATCCAGTTGCCCCCGAACAATGTGAGTACAGCTTTAGAAAATACCAGAAGCTGGCCACCCATTTGTGAGCAAGGACTACATAACATTTCCTTATCTCGAGTTCTGTGTGTCTGCTTAACAAGAATGCTTTAAGTTCTTAAAGGATTTCATCCTGGAAAATATACTGGGGATAAGGTTTTGTGAAATCTCACCACCTGTTTTAAGAAACAGGTGAGGGGGGCCTCCATGGTGGTACAAGGAGTTAAGTCTCAGTACTATGAAGCTATCAGCAGTCATGAGTTTGATCCCCAGCCTGGGAACTGACCCACATGGCACAACAGACCTCTCCTGTCTCACCCACTGCTCCCCTCAGCAGTGTGTTTCGTTCAAACCACCTGTTCTTCTCCCCACTCTGTCTCTGGTGAATCCTTTCACACACACCCCACACCTCTTGTCTACACCCCAGTTCTTGTATGCACAAATAAATCTTTAAAAAAAAAAAAAGAAACAGGTAAGGGTTAAGGTTCTATCAGATGATTAGTACATTTAGATGCATCCTAAATGGAATAGTAATTGAGTGACCATCACATATGTGTTTTCCAAGATCCGGAACAACTCAGATCAATTTTTGATCCTAGCTCTTACACAGTGTTATTTTTTAACCTCATCTTTATCCTAGTCCGTTCATTTCAGAACAATCTGTAACCTTGATTGGCATCCTAGGCCAACCTTGAAGAATACTCTCAGTCCCAAATACCAGATTAGTCATCTTTAAGGATGTGTGGTTTTAAGCCTGGTAATTGGGTAAACCACATTTTATCTAGACTGGGCAAGCCTTCATCCAGCTCCCTCTTCATCCCCTTCCCTCCATGTCCCCAGCTGGGTGTTGGTTCAGGAATTCAACTTCCACCTTCTAACTGAAGACCAAGTCTCCTCAGCTTGAAAGGTCACACTGATGTCCTCTTCTCCAGGAACTGGACCTCAGTGTCTCAGCTTTGATCTGGAACCTGCTATCCTGAACCCCAGCTCCAGATTCTTCCCATCTGCCCATCCCCAAGTCATTTCTTCATGCTTCCTGGGAGCCACTTCTATAGAAAGAAGGAACTCTCTCAAGGATGAACTAAATTATGACTTCTGGACTTTCTTTCTCTTGGGCTAAAAACTATCACAATGACACCATGGCAGCCTTGGGAAACAGCACAGAAGGTGTAGCTTCTAAGATGTCAGCACGTTAGCACATGGGCACGTGAGTCTGTAACATCTGGGTAGTAAGAGGAGCTGGAAGGATATTTTCCAAGACAAGGAAACAAACACAGCCTTAACCTCGGCCATCGGGCAGCAGCACAGCACCCTCCACTGAGCTTCCTTCAGAGCTTGGTTGATGACTTATTTTTTAAAATCTGAAAGATGTCACACCATCTCTTTAGAAAACCATCGTGACCAGTGTCCACCTACTTTCCTTCCACAGGTCTGACCTCCTTTCACGCTACTCATTCACTGCAGCTCGAGAGGAATTCGAAACAGCTGAAAGCGCGGGGACCCTTGCCTCATGGTCATCTGATCAGACCGGCCTCACAAGTATTCCCTCGCCAGCAGAAACATACAATAATACGGAGCATACAGCACACTCCGAAGGGGGCTCTTCCAGAAGGAAACCCAAACTAACTTCCTCACCTGGTATACCTGATGGTGAAACTGACCCAGTCAAAGGAATTCAAAACCCTTCTCATCCACACTGCAGCAATAGAAATCTGTCTATTCTGCTCATCTTTGACCTTGATAACACTCTCATTTCAAGTAGACTTCTGTGTGTGTCTGTGTGTGTGTCTGTGTGTGCACGCCTGTCTTTTATTCCATTTTTAAGGAGAAAATAAAATGTAAATGTGCTCATCACAAACCATCCGGATTCACTGATCTCCTGCTGTCGTCATCTGGTATAGTTTCGGAACATCTTTGTGAAGGTGTGGGCTCCTGTCCCGTGTGAGCTGCTGTAAGGGGCTTCCTACAGGAGAGCTAGTCGCGCGGTGAGATTTCACAATGCTCAGGTGAAGTGAATGGAATATTCTTGAAGTTTGTAAGGTAAGTGAATTAATCAAGCTTTTTACGCCACTAGCCTCTGTGGCTACCACCTGCAGCCTTGATCGTGTTGATGCAGAAGGCACTTCGGAGCATGCATGCAGGGCATGCCCGCCTGATTGTGGACACCTGGAGTGTGGGTGTGCATGCATGTGTAAGTGTGCACACCTGAGCCTAGAGGTGAGGCTAAAAGCAGTGGCAGTAAGAGGACAAGCAGTGTGACTACAAAGAGGTAAGACCACGAGAAAACACGTGAGTGAGAACACCAGAAAGAGCCCATAGACAGAGCACGAAGATTTGCAGGGGGCTGGGAAGCTCGTTGCTTGCCTGACTCCCGGGCTCCCTCATGCCCAGCCCAGGTCTGTTTCCTTACATGCCAGCCTTCCTTCCCAGTGGGCCTGTGTCCCTGCTTCCCTGAGAGAGCATTAAAGCCTGAAAAATCCACCAAGGGCTCCAGGACTCTCTATCCATCTGCCTGAATCGATAGCAAACCTGCCCTGTGCTTCTGGCACTAGAATGTTCCATGTCAAATCTGCTCGTGGTAAACCAGCTTCAACCACAGGAACAACCTCAAGGACTCAGGACTGCAGAGACACAGATGGAAGGCTGCTGGGTCCTCGAATGTGTGTGGAGCAGAGCCAGCATACAGACTGCTCCCAGATCAACAGGCGGCTCAAGTTGCTGTCGGTGTAGCTTTAATAACTGCAGTGATGTGAAAGGAATACCATTTTGGGGCAACACTTCCCACTCACTAGATGGGATGCTGCTTGATTCATGAATGTTTAATTAAACCAAAGAGCGGGGGAAATATTTTAGATTCATCCAACAACCAAAAATAAGTTTCTCCACTGAAGCCCATGATCTTTCCAACAGACCGTAGGTCCTATGCATTGGCAGCAATGGGGCCTGGGCCAGCCCCAGGAGGGAGCTTGACTTAGAAAATAAACTGCTCTCTGTGCCAGGTGGGAGCAGTGCATTCCCTCCAAGAAACTCAAGCAGCTGTTTAGGAGGTTAAAGTTCCACAGAGCAAGCCTGGAAACCCTTGTGCAGAATTACAGGTGTCCCCAGAATGCCCAGAATCCTTCCTGCAAGCCTTGAACAGGCTGTCAGGAGCTGGGAAACATCGCCTCACTAACTGGAATGCTTGCTTTAGGAGGCCCAATAAAATCTCTAGACCTGAAAACCAGCTGGGCCTTGTCATGTGGAGCAGGGGAAAAGATTGTTTATCAAGCAGGATGGAAACTCTGTACTGTCATCTAGTTCCCAGCAAGGCTACAAATAGCTCCAAAGCATGATAGCCCCAAATCCAACCAGCTACTCAGTGGATAAGAGCCAGGGATCAAAGATCATTGTTACATAACTCAGCACATGGCCCATAGCAGACACGAACGCACACACACACTCACACACACACACACATCTTTCTTTGGCAATAGGCCTTGACTTTCATAACTGCATTGTAGGGGCAGGATGGGCACAGTGCAGGATCTCTATGACTCGAGCAGATGGGGTAAAGGAGGATTCCTGGAGCCCTCGGGGGCTTTTGCAGGCTTTTATTGGGATTTACCAGGTACATGGCAGGCAGGGGTCCCGGGGAGCTGGGGACTGGAGCCTGCTAGCCTCCCAGACCCCAGCAAGTCTTCACTCTTTCTGGGCTCTCCATAGTTCTCTCGTGGCCTCTGATTCTCTTTCGTTCTGCTCTGCTGGTGGGTCTTTGGCGTCCCCGTGACAACGCCCTTATAAGCCCAGTCTCAGCCCAGGTGAATCCCATCTACGCATGCCCATACCCTACCCCAGGTGCCTGCCATCAGGCATGCATTCAGGACCACAGGGTTCCATCATCACTCCTAATGGCAGGAGGGCAAAAAAGCCTGATACTTTACTTACCCTACACACATTCTATCTGAATTTGCTGAGGAGTTTGGGTTTGGTTTTTTTCTAATAACTACAATTAATGAATGTCCATGCCTGATATTCCTATTTATGCAGTGAAAAGTGGACCAGCTACATGAAGGTGCTCAGAGGGAAACTAGGGTATCTGACTACAGACCTTGCAGAAAGGAATTTAGAATTTGTTCAAGGATTCATCTCTGCAGCTCAGAAGATATTTTCAGTAATTAGCATTTTCAACATTTAGCATGTTTCCAAGAAAAAGCCTGAACACTTTCTTGGAGTCAGGTTTTTTTGTTGTTGTTGTTTTTAAAAAGGAAGATTTCAGGAATTTGCCCAAGGCCAGAGGAGACTCAAAGTCAGAGCCAGGATCAGGCCCCAGTCCTGTCTTTGCCCATGCTCACACCTTCCTCCCTTTTAATTATGAAGAACAGCAGAGAGACCAACCTCAATGAAAGGCCAAAATCACATGTATACACATATTCAATCCTCTTCTCAAAACCACGGTATTTCTACCATTACTGCAAAAGAGCTGGAAGGAAGGAAGGAATGAGATATTTTGCAGTGCTGAACACACTAATAAGAAACAAACCTTGGGACTGGACCAGCAGTGCAGGATGGAAAAGGGATTTGAAATGACCACGGAGACCAAGGGTGACTGTATACCACCCAGAGGCCGCACACCCCAAGGTCACAGACAGCAGAGCAGGGAACCCCAGGACAGAAGCTGAGGAACACAGGAAAACTTACCTTCACTCTCCCCTTCAATAGTATGGTTCCATGGGAAATCCCATGAACAAACATTGTTTCACTCAACCTTTTGATGAGGTGAAAAGAACTGGCAGACACTGGCCAGACAGGAAATAAAAAGACAAAAGGATTTAAGAAAACTGGGGGAAAAAAAAAAGCAGGGGTGGTGAGGTGTTGGAATAAACACTTCAGTGCTGATACTGGGGCTGCAGGAACAGACGCAGTACATGCAGGGGGGCCAGACATGAACTTCTTGTCAGATTGAGGTTGAAAACAGGTGTGTGGAGTTGAAGAAGCACTGGGCATTTACGGACCGTATCCTCTGACAGAGACGGCCACACAGGAAAGAGGCTCACAGGGGTGCTCCTGAAGCTTCAGACATGCCCACTCACAGGCCCACCATTTCACAATTTGTCTTTATTTGGGGGCAAGAGATAAAGAGGGGGAGATGTATAGTCGGTGAGAGCAGAAAGCGGGATGGTGGCCCTTCTCACCACCAAAAGCTTTCATCAAAAGCTGTGGTCGGGAGCAGCATCAGCAGAGGCTGGAAGAAGAAAGCTTTTTGCTCTGCCCCCTCACGGTCATGTGAAAACAAATAGTCAGCTGTCTGCAACCCACAAGATGGCCTTCACCAGAACTAACTGTGCTGGCGCCCTGACCTTGGACTTCCAACCTCCAGAACCGTGAGAAATTATTTTCTGTTTTTGTTTTTTATTTATTATTATTTTAAAGGGGGAGAAGTAGAGGGAGTCTGGTAAAAAAAATTCTATCAAGGAGATCCTGAACATCGTGCCCAAATCCCACCCTCCCCTGACATCACTGACAGCTATGCTTCAGTGACCTACCCAAGCAAGGCCTTTATGATAAAACCTCATCACGAGAGCTGTCCCAAGAGCTCACTCCCAGAGCTGGCCAGGCTAGCCCTGCCTTTTCCAAACCCCTCAAGGTTCTTGGTCCACTTTGTCTAGCTCCTAACTCTTAGAGACCGAGTGTTCCAGCCCCTGCTCCAGGGCTGCCTTCAGGATTTGGTGAGGTTACTAGATCTTTGGGGTGCCAACCCTGGGAACACCTGGCAGTGCTCACCCCAATCTATCTCCTTTTTCCTTGGCGGTCCCAGGATAGAACATCTATCTTAGTTTCAGCCCCTGGTTCCCTGGCTCCCCACTGTAACCCACTCATCCAACAACCTAATCTTCTAACTCCAGCCCCAGGAATGTGGTTTTGCACGGTTAGGAAAGGCTACACCCCACTTACCCTTCCATTATAATTTATTGCATATGTTGTCCCTAATTATTTCTAGTAGAGTCTATGTGATTAATTCCATAGCCTGGATTTTTTTTATTTATTCCTTTATTGTCCTTGGGAAGCCAAAATTTAAAAACAACTATCACTGTTATTATTTGGGTTTTATTAAGACATATTCAACCCAAGTAGCCCCAAGGCTCATGCCTCTCCCTTGAGAATGTAATGCATTCTCATCTGTTTCTGAGCCCTCCTAAGTGCCAGAAAGCACAGTAGACACTGGGAAACCAAGGACAAGACAGGAACCCCATTCTCATGATGTTCATAATCCAGTGGAGAGAAAGACAGTTACCCCAAAGGTGATGACTCTGTGTATCACTAAATAGAGGTGTGCCTAATCTAAAGGAGATGATGACTGAGCTCATTGTTAAGAAGAATGAAAGAATAACAAGAAGAAGAAAAGAAAGGAGGTGGGAAGAAGAGCAGGGGGGCGCCTCTTGGAAGTGAGAGAGAACCCCTAATTCTGTGAGTTGCATCAGTTTGGCCAGAAGGGCGCATGTGCGATGGGTAGGTGCTTTGGGGAGAATGAGAGGATAGAGTGGGGTAGAGCTGCATCCGGATGGACCTTGTCCTTCAGGCTAAGCAATTTGGACTTTAATGTGTAATGTATTTTAGTTCTCAAACTTCAGTGTACATAAGGATCAGAGTGGTGCGGGCTTGTTTTAACTCTGCTTCCTGAACCTGCACATAGAAATTCAGATTCATCAGGTCAGGGAGTGGACCCAGGAGTCTGCACTGAATAATCATTACCTTTGCTGGACTGGTTTGATGCAAAGGATGGTTGTACCACTCTTATCCAGATCCAGCTGTAGGAGACATGGAACCACAGAGAGTCAGAGTGATCGGATCTATTTCAGAAAAATCACTCAGGCAGAAAGTATCCCATATGTGCTCACTCAGCAAAGCCCCCTAATCCATTGGCAATTCTCCAACAACTTTCAGCTGCCTGGAAGCTGCAAAGCTTGGAGTTGGGTCT